AGCATCACGTGACGCGGAAGCAATTCTAGCTGTGCGTCACGTGATTGCTTTTTTATCTTATTTTATACTTTATTTAACCCTCGTTTTTGCATATAATTTTTATATTTGTTTTATCTTTCTTTTATTATATTTATACACATTATTTCAACTTGTTTTCAGTTCTATTATAATACCAATATTTTGATGACGTCATTCTGGCGGGAATTTCGAATCCCCATAGTATTATTGTATGTTATATAAACCTTTGAATGTCAGGTGTGCCTTCCTTTTATTATTATCTACTTGAAGAAGCCTTTTGAGGCGAAACGCGTTTAGATATTTTAGATATTTTATTAATTACTTTATAATAAAGAATTTAAATTGGCATAAGACACTTTATTGCCATTTTTCTTTATTTTCTTTATTTTATTTTATTTTTGCACCTGACCTATATCCACAAGGAGCCTAAAGAATCCATAGGTGGGGATTATACCACCCAAACGTCTACATCGAGCAGTACGAGTCTGCTCTAGAGAATAAATCCTCCAATCAAACAGTATTTCTGCATATCCTTGAGTGGGGATCATTCCACTTCACGCGCATAATATCAGAGCTGTAATCTAGCTCTGAAAAGTGTGAGTAGGCTATTTTCACTATTCTAGAATTTCATTTTCATTGATATACTGTACCATTGGAGTTCCTGTTTCCCTTTCATATATTCTCCACTGGATCCGAGCCTACCATTGTGAAGATTCTACACCGCCAGACGTCCCAAGACTCCTTGTCTTCCCATAAGAACCTATTATTACGGACTCTTGATAAGTGTTTTGGACTTTTTCTTATTATTTAATTTAATATTTTATACTCTATATTATTTTATATTCTGCATATGTTTTATTATAATTTTTAGGCGCATTCTTATTCTTTTTACTTGTTTTTATCAACAGATAATGGTTAACTGGGCCTACGAACGCATGGCCCACACACAAATTAAAACCGACTCAGACACACTAAAAGCAGGAGACCTATGGACACAAAAATGGCTCACCAGCAGAGACTCCGGTGGTGCCTCGGCCCCTCCCTCCCACCCCCCGAATTCCCCCATGCCACAAGCCACCTAGAAAAGGAACATCCCTCCCAAAGAGGGGAACAAACTCAAACAAACGAAACTGATCGGGCTTCACACAGCCCTCGCACATCCAGGCACTACGAACCCACTCACGGTAACACTGAGGCGCATCTGGCGACCACCAAAACGCTAACTATACGCCACCTAGCCCCTAACCTGGAACCTGACCCGGCCACACACGACATAGAACAATGTACCACAGCCAACTAGCATGTGACACGGACTTTAGCTACCAACGGACACGTGGAACTCACAGGGGCAACACAAAGGCCCTAGACCGCATCCCCAAGCCGAGACATAGAAGTTGCACAAAACTGCTACCCAGCCAGTTACTCCTCCTTCCCCCAGTTCTGGATAACCCACACCGTTTCTCCCCTCCCCCATGGGCAAGGCAATAACCCAGGACAGCACCAAGCAGAGCCAACCTGAAATGAGACACGGCGGATTCCACACTGACACCCACAACCACCGCTACACCAGGTCATACCACCCCTCCAAGTACCCACCTACACCAAACGACCAACGGGTTAAGGAACCATGACAAGTGGAACTGCAGCGACAAGGAAAGCACAAACAGGCATAGTGGAGGGAATACATAGGCCGCAACAACCAAACTGATGAACAAGACAGAGAATACTTAAAGCCACCCTAGACCTCCAAAACAAGGAACCATGTACACCAGGCAAACCAAATGAGTGTTATTGCTGATGTATGTTGCATGAATAAATTGCCAACGGCTACCCATTAACCCTTTCCTCCCTTTTTTTCTTCTGTACCCCACGACCACTTGATAAACAATAAAAAATTGTCAAATTGGAAAAGAACTACTTCTAGACTGCCCGATTTGTGACAATTCTTCCAATAAATATCCGGGTTCAATTTCCACTCTCCTCAATCTATATTATATATGCAACTCAGAAAATCTGCAACCTCATTGTCTTTGTCTGGAAGGTAAATAGCTGATAGACCTTCTAGATTCACCTTAGTCCTGAAAATAATTGGTTTTGTTTCCTGCATTAACCTTTGACAGCTCATCACATCTTGATGGTTGATGTATGCCATAGCTGTCACATTGTCCACCCAGACTTTGACCCATTTGTTTCTCCATAGATGCTTGAAGTCAAGGCTTTGTACACTGCCTTAAGTTCCAATATTTTTGATTAAAGATTCCAATTGCAGATATCCCAACATGCAAAAATGCATTTCAGGGACGTGGCTTCACAAGATACTGCTCCCCCCACACACACACACAGATACACATACTTGCACAAACGCTGAAACACAGATACACACGGTCACATAGATACAGACTGACACGCTAACAAATGCACTCATATACACTGACAAACACATTGATATACACACTTATACGCACACTGGCACATACTCAGATATACACAAACACACACATGTCACACTTTATAGATTTGCAGCCATCCTCCTGTTAGCTTACCTTTGTGTCCAGGAGGGTGGCTTGCTTGAAGGTATGGTGCTGGCTGAGGCTGATGGGAGTGAGCATGCAGGAGCAGCTCACTCCAGCCTCTCCATGTTGCTGCCTCCTCTGTCCATTCCTCCTGGGTGGTTCTCTGTGAAGCAGGGAGGAAGTGGCTGTCACTTCCTCCCTGCCGGCTGATATCACAGGGGCTCGTTCGGCATTAAAGGGCTGGCACCCAACCAGGCCCTGGTTTAATGAGTACTATTAGTACTAACCTTTTTGGACAGTGTTGGCTTAGGTTGGAACCTCCATTTTTGTGAATGCCCTTAACTTATTGTTCTAGTTCAGGTCACCAGAGATGCCTGGTTGGCAAATTATCACTCCATAACCATATTTGGACATCCTGTTTTGGAATCCTTTCAGGTGAATGTAACTATGGGGCTATTTTCTGGTTTCTTTCTCATGGATGAACTTTTTAATGTATTAGGAATTTAATAATTATGCACTGTTTTTGCACTGAAATATGTATATTTATGAATTTTTATGAATAAAGCCTCTGTGTAGGCCAAAACGTTTCACTATTTGTTCCAATAAACCTGCCTTCCTGCAGCAATCCTGAACCTCATTTTATTTTATAGTCCTATTCGACATGTTGCCCAGCTTGTATTTTTTAATTTACTTTTTTTTTTTTTACATCCAGCGTGGTGTCACCTTTAATAATTGTATGCACATATTGCAATGTGTTCTTACTCTGTTCTTATCGTGGACGATCAGCTTGATCATGTTTGGTACTGTTGACATTATGCTCCTAAGGGTTTTCAATCTATGCCTCCAAAAAAAAAAAAAAAAGACAAAAATTTTTTTTTTTACGAACCGTAAATTTATTTTTCCGTAAGATTAGAGGCAGTGCTTTACATCTGGGATTTCTGATCTGGAGGGAAAAAACAGGCAGGCAAACTCCCAAACTTTTTAAGAACCTCCCCCAATTAACCTTAGGTCCTATAAATAGCCCCTTACCTAGGACAGCCCCAGAAAATACAAAAGCCGAATAACAGCACAACTTAGTCTATCAGCAAATCAGGAGGGGGAAGTGAGCACTGCCTCTAATCTTCCGGAAAAATAAATTTACGGTAAGTAAACATTTCTGTTTTTCCCTTCAGATTGGAGGCAGTGCTTTACATCTGGGATAAATCAAAGCAATCCCCTAGGGGAGGGACTCATTTCACAATTGTATGCAACAACCTGCGCCCCAAGATGCATCTTCCGAGGTCAAAAGGTCTAATTGTAAAGTTTAGCAAATGTGTGAAGAAATTCCCATGAGGCTGAAGAAAATTATGAGAAGGTATAGCAGAAGCCCTCAGGGCACAAGATGTGAACATCGCTCTGCTTGAAGGAGCTTCAATGGGAGGTAGTTGTTAGATGAGAAAAGAAAAAACAAAACCAAACGAATGCAGACCTTTAACCCTCTGGTCGGATCCTGTAGAAGAGGCTGGTTGACTTATGCTTTCAAGGTGCCGCAGCAGAGAACTAAATGTCCAGGCAGTGGAATTTGAATTCTAAGGCCCTAGGAAGCAGTTGTGAAAAGTTGGCAAAATAATGACAGACGGAAGATCGGGAAATTTTAAAGGATCTTAAACATCACTTTGTCTTGCCGAAAACTGGAAAAAAACTGAGCTAGAAGTTCTTCCAAAATATTAAAATAAATTGGGGGTGATTACCCCCAAAGCCCTTGAGTGAAGACTCAAATCAGCAGAGCTGAAAACCCAAAAGAAGACCCCATGGAGGAAAGATTTCCTGATGGTAGGAACCAACTGAGACAAAGCCTTGAAAATTCTGGTGATTTAAGAATATAGAGACAAACCGCTAAAATTTAACGGATAACCGAAATTTGGACCTTGAGGATATTTGGATTTAATCCATATGCAAAGCCCATCAGAAGGAATTTAAAGACGTAAAAAAAAATGAAAGCGGTTGCAGAATTTTCTTTGAACCAATACATAAAACACAACACCTACCAAACTTGGAATAAATCTTGCACCAAGATCCATTCTACAGCAAAATCAAAATGTCAATAATTCATGAGACAAAACATTATCCTTCAATATCTGGTATTCAGAAACCAGGTCATCAGTTTGAATTACTACAAAGTTGAAAAGAGGTACCATGGAGTATTTCAGGATGTCTATTGACAGGGAAAGTTTCCAAAAGATTAATCCGGTTAAATTCAGATGAACGGTGAAACAACTCCTCGGCCACCAAAGGAGGAATACGATCATTCTTACCTTTTCCACCTGTCGAATCCTGGGGATTAGGGAACAAGGCGAAAACTATAGGTTAGGCTGGAATTCCACAGAAACCAAAAAAAAAAAAAAAAAAGGAAACAACGACCTCTGGTCTGTCCAAGCTTGTCCAAAAGAAGGATAACCAAATTCTTCCTGTAATTTAACTGAAGATCTGGGAGAAAGGACCAATCTGCTTCATATTAAATGTTGACGACTCAAGGAGACTGCTAAAATGAGGAATACTAGTTTCATGCATATAATTGAATAGACAGAAGGAAAACTGACCACAGCATATACTGGAACAAAGATTTTACAAACGAGTTGACCTTGTTTGTACATAAATGCTACAGATGTAGAACTATCTGACCAGATATGGACATGATAATACCTGGACTTTATCTGAAAGGCAACGAGAGCTAGCCAGACAGCCTTCAGATCTATGTAGCTGGATAAGCTTCTCAAATGTTCTCAGCAAAATTCAGTTTCTTCATATCACCCATATGAGAACCCCAGCTGAGACCGGGAGCAACAGTCAAAAAATGTCTGAACGACCTCATCTGGAAAGAAAAAACACCAGACTGCCGGAAAAGGGATGAGGTGTACCAGAAAACAAAACTCTGCAGAGCACGCATGACAAGATACATAGGTATGTCCAAGTTGTACGTTTGCTATTACCAGAAACTGAAAGTGCTTCTTTGAAGAGGTCTCCTCTGGCCTTTGCCAAATTTACCGATGGGATAGAGGCTGCTGCAATAACAACCAGAATCTTAGAAAACCCTTTTGTTGCTGAGGAATACCAAAGGTAAAAGTTCTGAATAATAATGCAATTTTAGGCTTAAGGCACATGAGGTTCCTAGTAGGTCCCCCATACAAGTCCAAACCAGGCCTGTGTCTGGGTGGCTTCTGAGATGTGACGAGATCAGACACTTTCAGACTGGTATGACCGTAGGTTGTAAGTCGAAGCTTAGGTATCTTTGCTGGATTCTGATTTAAACCTAATTCCATCAATGGTAAGATACTGCTGGTCTCCCATACAGCAACAAACCAGGAACAAGACTGCTCAGCTTTAGAAACTAACCATTAGTAAGTCAACTCAGACTATAGCTGCCCGAGATACAGACTTTGATACCCAAAGAAAACATGTTGATCGTCTTGAGAACTAGAACGGAAAAGTAAGAACCGTCTGGCAGCATTCATTTCTGCCTGGTTCAAAAAGGAATGACAGAAGTATTGGAATTTTCTACAAAGTCTTTTCAATTCTACCAGCAAATGTTTCTGTGCCTCTGCTACTGAAGAACCTGTAAACAGTGCTATGCATAGAGAAGCTAAAGAGAAACAGTTTCATTAAAGACAAAAAAAAAAAAAGAATTTCCCTAGCATCTCGTCTACAGAAGTAGAAGAGAAAAAAAAAAATATTCCTGGGAACTAAACCTTCAATGAGAATGCAAACGGAAAAAACCTAGTTAAAAAAAAAAAAAAAATTTACACCTGAATTGTTCCTTGTCAAGCAACAGAAACTGCACACCTCAGGTAAAGGGAATTCTTATCAGAAGATTCATTAGCATCCTTGTTTAGGCAGTAGAAAAAAAGCACCCTAACCTTTAGGGGCTGGTGTTCAAAAAACAATTAAGTGCCCATTAGCCAGCAGTATTGTAGAAAATCAACATATTCAAGGATGGGAACATTCTGCATAGTGAGTGAATCACAAGCAGCAATTGCCATATAAGCTCTTTCTTAAAAGGAAAATGGAAAACAAACCTAGTTAGTAACACATACCCTGTCATGAATATGGTGGAAACGTCCCATGATCAATAGGCCTGCAGCTGTACTAGAACTTGAAGTCAAACCCAGTAACATGAGGAATAAATATTTTTCCATGGAGGCAAGGTCATACAGGTTACCCTCTTTAGTGGCCAAAGAGAGACTAGATACAGAGCCAATACAGAGTAAGACAATATCCATGATCTAGGCTTTCCTTAGCCGTATTTGGGAAGCAGAGGCTTGAGCAGACAGAATGGCTGCAGACTGCATTTCAAAACCGGTTTGATGCAAACTCTGCAGGAACCAATTTAGGAAGCATTCTTTAAATTTAGCAAACATGGAGTGAAGCACAGGAAGAGTTCTGCCCCAGCGGAAAACAGACTGCACCTTTAAGAAACTGCGATCAGGTGAAACAAGTTGAAGTGGTGATAATGCTAATTTCTACAGAGTTATAGGGTTTTGTCTACAGCGTTAGCTAAAATCCTACTGCAAGTTCTAAGAAACATTCACTTTAGTTGCTGCTGGGGAAAACAGCCTCTCTAAGTCCTGGAAACCAACATCTTGAAACACAGAGAGAGTGAGAAAAAAAATATAATAAAGATATTGGCGCCTGATTTTGAAATCGCATTGCGCATGTCATGCGTGCCGCGATTCCACAGTCGAAAGCATCGCAACCTGTAAGTGTGTTCCACCTCCAGGACTTCCCAGCTAGCGCACCATCGTCTGTCCGGCACCTGGCACGGTATAGACGGAAGAAATACAAACAGGGAATATGCAGACATCCAGTGTGCTTATCCCTGGGAGATCTCCAAAAATTTTTAAAAGAAGCAGAGCCTCCCGAACCTCAGCCCTCTCACCATACTCCTGGGGAGCAAACCTGACACCCTCCTCTGCCAAAGGCAGGCAAAGAACTGGGGCTGTCCTAGGTAAGAGGCAATTTATAGGAAAAACGGTTAATTGGGGGAGGTTCTTAAAAAGTTTGGGAGTTTGCCTGCCTGTTTTTTCCCTCCAGATCAGAAATGCCAGATGCAAAGTACTGCCCCTAATTTGAAGGGAAAAAAAATGCAAATATCCTCTTTTTGTGGTTCAAATAAGAAAGAAAAGCCCTGGAATTGTACACACAAACAAATCAAACCAAACATCTTCTGGACATAGAGACTTGAGTCATTATGAGCATTACAATAATTGCTTTATTAATATGTACATTTGTGCAAAAAGTAGACACAAAAAGTGTGGAAAAACCACGGGCCGCACCTTCCATAATGTACGGACTGTATTGTTTGTAAGGCTTTTCAATAAGCGGGGCAAATACCAAATGGTCCTTTATATTTCTCAAAATAAACTTTATATAATAATCGTTCTATGTTAATCTTTTTCCTCTGCAATGATAAAACAACACTGCACAATAGATGAGATCAAATTTCCATCTAAATACCCAGAATTTTCAGTTACTGAATAAATGTATTCACTATCAAAAGTAAGCAAATTAAATTCAGAATGGCAGGATCTGATATATGTACCTTACAAGACAGCAACATTTTTGCGGACTGAAGCAAACAAATATTATAATAATGTTGTGACATTTTGTGATCTAAAAAGTGTAAAATAATAATTAATAAAATCAAAACCATCAATTTTATATACTGATAAGTGTCATCAAAAACAGTCACCAGGCTAACACAACAAGTGCTAATAGATCTTTTCACCGAATACCAATGACACAAAGTTACTCACAATGCCTTGGTGCTTACCACAAAGATATGCATTCATGTGAATATGTATATTTGCACACACAAATATTTCACAATGCAAAGCTACAGTATATGAATTGCTCACTTTAAAAACATTGCCAGTTAAAAGAACCATTAGCATAGATAATTTAACTTCACAGCTGCGCCCTTTTCTTTTTTGTTTCCAGAAATCTATACCTATAAAGTGCCTTTTTTATTATAAATATTCTAACAGCCATCCAAAGAAAGGTTTTTGAAGATTTGAGGGATTCTCCATTAATTCACAGTACTGAAGGACAGCTTGTAAGAGATCACCAACCTTCCACCCCTTTTCTCTAAGTCTTCTGGACAGCTGGAAGGAAACAGATAAAAAGCAATTACAAAACACGACCACAAAGATGGCTTACAAAATTAAAGTGACACCGACAGCAGAAAATATCTATGCACCTTCGTATATCACTTAATATGCTGCGTATATTTTCTGCTAAACCTTTTAAAATAAAAAATGTTATGCATTACTCTAAACACTTTAAAGAACAGTCTAACTTTAAAAGCAAAAAATACACACACACACACACACTTTTTTTGTTTAATTTGAGTGTTCATTTAAATAAACTTGTAAGACAGTATGCATCGGACCAAAACCCCATTCAGTAAGTGGTTATGAATCTGACAACATTCCTTTGAAGCTTACTATAGCTTATTCAGGTGAAATGAATATTAATCTGCTGAAATACTGGTTTTCACAGATTTTGAAGTAACAGGGCCACTTTAAAGGTTGGACTCCGGTCTTGCTATTGAAATGTTGAGTCTAGGTGTGTTCTCCAATATTTTTTTCTGCTTGAAAAAATAAATATTTTGAGACAGGATTCCTTACAAATTAGTGGTTTGTGGGTTTTTTAAGCGGCAGTGGAAACAGGAAATTTATATAAATAGGATAATAATTTTACCACTCCACCTTAACACTACATATAGAAGCAGAGGCCTAGCTTCATTAATGACAACTCTTTTTCCTATTGTTGAAAAGAAGTTGGTTTTCTGGTCTACGTTACACTTCAACCAAACAAAATAGGCTGTCTTGTATTCAGGAATTTTGTATTTATAATCTATTTAATTTTCCATAATGAAAAAAAAAGTGGTTTGTTAAAAATCACATAATCCTGCCATAACCCTGTGGCTGCCTTCGTGGTCTAGAAGAGAAATAAATTAACTTGTGATCCAAAGTTAACAAAGTTATGGGGTACACAGTTCAACACATGCTGCAATAGCCTTTGTCACACTTACAGACAATAGCTCTTTTTTGGAGGTCTCAGGAAAGTACAGCTCTGAAATGTCAAACTCCGAGGCAACGATCCACTGTAACACTGTTCTTAGCTGTGACTCAACTGTGCACAGTCCGACATCTATATTCCTGATCAGTAAGAGCTTGCAATGCTGCCCACTGACTGGAAAAAAAAATAAAATATATAAATGTAGGATCAACAACATGGTGAATAAAAAAAAACAAACAACTCATTATTCCAAATTAAAATCCTTCTTTTAATTTATTTGAATTTAGACATTATTGTGTTATTTTGTACAGGTTAAATGTAAAAGGATATCTTGGGTTTTCATTTTTGACATTCTTACACTGCAAGTGCTTTGCTCCACGGCATTGCATCTGAGTGAAGGGGGAAAAAAAATGGCACACATTGATTAATTACACAATTGTAAGTCCTAAAAGTGATGCCACTTTTGGTTATATTTATACCAGGGTAAGCACCAAGGCTCATTCTGTTTCTATATATTTGTTCATAGAGAGTGCTGGACATTGATGCAGATTGTGTGTGTGTGTGTGTGTGTGTGTGTGTGTGTGTGTGTGTATGTATGTATGTAATATATATATATCATATCATCACCATTTATATAGCACGAACAGATTCAGTAGCACTTTACATTATTATAAGAGTGGGGGATTTAACTATAAATAGGACAATTACAAGAAAATTTACAAGAACGATGGGTTGAAGAAGACCCTAATCAAACGCGCTTACAGTCTATAGGAGGTGGGGTATAAAACACAATAGGACATATATATATATATATAAATATCAAAACTATATATATATATATATATAGAGTTATTTTGAGAGGACAGCAAATTTACACTGTTATACAGGCTGTACACTTACTACTTTACATTGTAGCAGAGTGTAATTTCTTCAGTGTGGTCACATGAAAAGATATAATAAAATATTTACAAAAATGTAAGGGGTTTACTCACTTTTGGGAGATACTGTGTGTATATTTTATATATATATATATATTTAAAAAATGTTTTAACTGAATTCACAATACGCTAAGCCCACTTACTGCATGATTTCTTGCATGTATACTTTAAAACAAGTCTGAGCAAATGAAGTTATAATGTAACAGCTAATTCTGTATTGTGTTTCTACAATCTGGAGGAGAGCTGTAGACCTTGCCAATTTAATTGCGATCAATGCTGTAATTGTACAGAAGACACCATATTAAGTGGGATCGCCAAGTTAATCTGTGCCTGTCATATTGAGACCAACAGTGCATCTATTTGATATTATCTGTCACGGAAAGAAGAAAGGCAATCACTCCAGTACTCTATATGAAGCTAGTGTTTCAACCAAATGGTGGTTCTCAGTCCAGTATTTAAAGACATGCAATTGCCTAAAATTTTATTAAATTCCTTATCTGAAAATAATTTGTTAATTACCAAATTCAACACTTTTGACTGTCCACAATTTCTAGTTTGAGAAACACACTGCAAAACAACAAAACCAAGAATTGTTCTAAATATACGCACATTTTCAACTGTTTCCTAAAAAAAACAACAGCATAATCCACTATATAGTAAATCATTTTATACTAATATTTAAAAAATTGCTGGACTTCAAAATAAATTAAATAAAATTACCTTCTCCAGTAACTTTGGGTTCTTCATCTCTTTCTTCTGGTCCATCACTATGTCCCAAGAAAAACAAGAATTGCGTTCAGCAACAGTCACCCAAATAAAAATAAAAAGAAAGCAGTATAACAAAAATGTCAAATGAAAGTATAAACTTGTGACCATGCACATTTTCACTGTAAAGTACAACGAATTAAGGAGCCTCTTTCCCAATTTAGCACATTGAGCAAGAGACACTGGGATATAATGAGTTCTAGAACAAGCCATGCCAATCATGAGAAACAAGGAATACGAAAAACTAAAATTGACTACAAGACCTACAAAATTTTCCAATCACTGATCTTCAAGATTTGTGACATTTTATGTATTTTACAACTCCAGAAACACAAAACAAAAAGGTAAAGATACCAATGAGCTTTTGAATGTAAACTCAACTTAAAATGAAGTTTCAAATTAAACAATTAAAACACGAAAACTGTCCACACAAGAAAATAAAGAACCCAGAATATGTGATTCTGTGAATATTGCAAATATACTGCTCTGCAGGTATTAATGGGATATGTACTTGATGAAAAATAAAAAGAAGAATTAAACTACTCTACGTTAATTGCAGCAACCAAGCAAAATCAGTTATGGGAGAACTTCACTCCAGCACCATAACCATTTCACCTCAACGAGGTGGTTATGGCTTCTGAAGTCACCTTCTTACTTTCACGCATTAACAGATGTTAAATGATGGCACTGGTCTGCTGCCTATCCTCCTGTGCTCAGGAACCCCAGTACTGTTAAAAGTGACTCTCTGGGTGTAACCCTTTTAAACCAGGGGTCTGACCTAAACTCTCTCCTGAAGGAGATGACAATGGTTTATGGGGTGCACAAAGATGCCTCTAGATTAGACATATTAGGTCTTCACAATCCCCTTTGCTGGTGGAATACAGGCCAGCAGTTTTTAAATCGGTTTTAATTTTAATTGGTTTTAATATGATTACCAATTTCAATTGGTTTTTAATACGATTTGTATTTGATTTTACATTTTTTTATTGGTTTTTAATACGATTAGTATCTGTCAAGTTTATTTTTGTCATGTTTCAGGCACTTGCCTGAGTGATATAGATTACTGGTTAGTAGAAGTATGGTTATTTCAGTTACTCCTGTTATTTAGTATGGGGTTTCCAAATAACAAATGGGTCACATTTAGGAGGTTAGCATTGGTGAACATCTAGGAAAGTTATATACACCTTGTCTTGATGGAGGTACAGACTATAGAGTATCTGCTTGCATGCTACAGTCCAGTGCATCTCCACAAGCTTGATACTAAGTCCATTAAGTCAGAGAATGGAAGATATCCTGGGTTCTGCAAACTTCTCTACCTGTCTGATTCCGCATATATATCATTCAAGCCTGGCTGGAAATCTATTTTGCCACTTGTTCTGAATACTATATCAGACTACTCCACTGACACGTGTGTGTCCTTAAACACATTAACATTACCTTCTCCAGAGGTACCGTCAAAGATATCCTTTATTATGGTCACTCCTAATCAATATAATCTCCCAACCGTCCCAAAGTCTAGGGGACAGTCACGATTTTTGGGAACACCAAGGAACTGTCCCAAACATTCATAGCACAAGCGAAACAATAGAGACGCTTGCGCTATGATTAGGGCACTACGACCCTGGAGGGAGCACCAAAAATGTTTCCTCATTGCATGATGGACAGGCAGTCTAATGTTAATTCATGCCAGGATGACCTGCCATTAACCCAGATGGACCCACTCCTTTCCAGGCAGGTTCCCCTCTTTGTAGATAAAAGTGACACAATTGAATCATTGCCCCACCCCCTTTTTAGAGAATGAAATGATATGGCATTGCATTACTGGCCGATGTAGCCTTCAGGATGTAGGCAAGCATCTAAGAGTGTGTGGAAGGATATGTGCACCTGGTCTCCATGGAAGGTAATCTTTGTTAGGGATTCTCCTAAGATTGTCTGCTTTTGTATCCAGCATAAACTGGTGTAAATTGAATGCCTAGTGCTTTCTGAAATAAAACCTTTATGAGGCTTTACTTACAAAATAATGCCTTTTTGATGGATCAGAAAGCCTTTGCATGTGCATTGCATTTAGCAAACAACACCCAGTTATCAGGGTAAATCCTTGCAGATCTAATTAGCCGCTTCAGATGCACTGCAGGTGTTACTGGGCCTTGTTAATTGCCATAAAACAGTGGTGCCCAACCCTGTCCTCAATTACCCCCTACCAGTCCAGGATTTAGGGATTACCCTGTTGTGTCTAAAGTGTTTTAAGGAAAAAAAAAAAGTTAAATAAATTATTTAGACCCAACAGGGTAATCCCTAAATCCTGGACTGGTAGGGGATACTTGAGGACCGGGTTGGGAACCCCTGCCCTAGAAGGAAGGCATCATGATATAGCTAAAATGGTGGTTTGCAGTTTTCTGTTTACCCTAACTGTAAAAAATGACTTTTGGTCCCACTGTTCCCAGTATTTGTAAGATGCTCCCAGAGACTTAAATTGCTATGTAAAAGTTTGAGCTATTGTTGGGTTAAAGAAAGAAAAATGGTAAAAAAGTGAATTGTGGCAAGTGCACAAGTATATTTTGTAATACGCTACTCAAAATGTATTCTGAAAGGTTGGTGAAGTGTTAAATGTAATGATGAACACAGGCAGTGTATCATAAGTCTGGCATTGACTTGTAAACACGTTATGCACATTTGTAGTTATTCATTCACAGGAGGCTCCATTACATTGTCCAGTGTATATTGATACTCATTCTGGGCACAGTAGTTGGGAGACTAAAATATGAATGTTTTACATATTTGTAAATTTGCACTTTTTATGATTAGGAGAAGCTAAGATCTTTGCATTAAGGGAGAATATATTCTAATTATTTGACAATTTTTTGGCTATGGTATTTTATTATGGATTACTTGTATCTGCACTTTCGTGCTCTCCTTGGTGGTTGCATGCTAGTCCTTTGCCTCTTGTGTACCACACAATATGCATCACCACATATATTATGAAACCTTTTATTTCTTGACCTGTCCAGCAACTCTTTGGTTCACAAAGGGTTAAGAATTAGAATTTTCATAGTGATATTTGCAGGTGCTTTTTGATTGCATTACCCCCTTAATGTTGATACTGGGTGTTCAACCATTGTATGTGTTGGTTACCAGTTTATACTGTAACACAATTTCTATTTGTTTAGATTCTCTTCTGGTAGTTTTTTATCTGCAGGGAGGTGGCACAATCATCTGTGCTTCTTGGCTATGTTGTGAAACATTCAATAACTGGATATCCATGACTAGTCTTGGGGTCCTTTCACCTGTAACTCCTTCATGATGGACGATGTACCAGGACTGTCATGATTTGTCTATGTTCTTGTCAAGACTGTCTTGTCTTGAAGTTGAACTAGTTATGTACAAGGGTTTCACAAATCTGTTAATTTTGTGACACAAATAATGTGATGGGTTCTGAGGGAGTTACAGGCCTAAAGTTTCATGTCCTATGCCAGTGTTCCCCAATCCAGTCCTCATGAACCCTCAACAGTCCAGGTTTTGTCAGTATCTCTATTGGAATAAAACAGGGAAATACATAAATCCTGGATTGTTGGTGGTCCACAAGGACTGGGTTGGGGAACACTGTCCTATGCTACTATTCAGGCCTTTAATGAGTCTTGCCACTGCAAGCCTGGAAGTAATGACACGTTTACCAGACGTGAATTTCTCCTTGCCAGGGCTAAATATTTACTCGCTAGTGGCAAGTGGGAATTTTGAACCTTGTGTTAAGATATTTATTTTAACTGCATCTTTTCTAGTAAAGCCTTCATGTGGGTATCCATACTCCTGTGTGATTTGTCACCAACTGTAATCTGTAGCTGTTTGCGTAGGCATACATTTATTTAAGATTTCTCAGGGCCTCTGTGTGCACAACCTTGTGAGTTCTGTTCAGTATTGTCTTTCACCATGGAATGTTGTGATTTAGGTTTCATTCCTACTGCCCACAACTCTGTAGATGAGTAAAAAATTTCACTAATGGACCCTCAAACTGGTTCTTTCATCTCTGGTAAGGTCTATATAATTTTCTGATATTAGGCTCATCATAAATCTGCACAGGATCTGCTATTATATAAAGTAAAGTGATATTTTACCAGTATTGACGGTTAGTGTTTGTAATAATGAGATTTATGTCTCACACCATTACATTTTACCATTGTTTTTAATTATCTTCTCATAGTTTTAAACTGTCACTATCTATATCATCTCGTACCTATTACAATACTATGTTACTGTAATATTACTGTATAATCTCAAACACAGAAGGAAAGTTTTAATTTGAGCAGTCATACTCTTTTAGGGAAGTTCAGTTCCAGTCGCATGGAGATTTAACAGTTTCATTACCCACTATAGGTGATCTCAGGCTTCAATCTATTCCGGTTTCATCTGATTTCTTCACTCTCTTTTGGTCACTGCTCTATTACCATTTTACACGTTACCGCTATTGAACTTATCACACAGGTTGCATTTTCTTTGGTTTAGAGGATTAATTCTCATACTGTCCTTGCTTAAATATTTTGAGACCAAAAATATGTAATATGTTAACTACAAACTTATAACTTCATAAGATTAGTATTTTATTTTCTAATCCTTCTCCCATTACCTCTATTGAACACCATCTTTGGATACCTTCTGCAGTTGTCTGTGACTGGGTGGAGGATGTCCGTGTAATAACTTGACATTTTGCTTACAGAGAGTGATATGGCGAGATTAATTCTTAACCTGGTTATCATGGTCTGCATCTCCTGCTTTTTTTAAATTAATTAATGTTCAGTTCTGTTTAATAGCTATAGTTCTAGCTGTAACAGATATTTTGTTTACTATTCACCTATCCCACGATTTATATACTCTGTTAGAAGATCCTTACTGTCCATATAGGAAATTTTCCATAAATTCTACAATACAGAGGTGGGTTTTTCCTTTCTGATTTTGCATATATTTGTGGTTTCTTTTTTTTATTCCTCCCATCAGGTGTTTAGGGTGGGTATTACCCGATTGTGATGCTGCCGTTGATTAGCCAGGGATAAGGAAAATTTAACCATATTTACCGTAATTTTCTTTGCCTGGACATATCCATGCATCCATCCCTTATATATTTTTTTTGGAGAGTGGAACATAGACTGGAGATCCCATCTGGTAGGAATGGTATTTATAGTTTATATTGCCCATCCTAAACAGCCAAGTGGGCAGAACCAACCATAATGTGATACTACCATGACTATAGCCAGGAAAAGAAAATTACAGTATGGCTACATTTTCCTTATTTTCATAGTATTTTGCACTGTATTTTAATAACTTTGAGATTACAAAATATGAGGTAGTTTTTCCCAAAACATTTCTATTTAAACAGCTAGTAGAGAAACATGCTGCAAAAATCTACTTAAAAAAAAATAAAAAAAATTATACTTTAGTGTCTACCCAAAAACAAGAAAACACTATACATAAAACAAGTGATGTCTGTCCAGCTTTCTTTTTGCAAAATTCCCATTTGAGATTTTTTTTCTGCTACCTAACATTTAATCACTAGATTTGCTAGTGATTTACTTAGAATAATGGACAGATGAACATTTGTCAGGTCTAACAACCTGTAACCATGACTTTGTATGACTAAATCTCTTAAAAATGACCTTGGTCAAATAAGTTCTACCTATTAACCACACAGCACGTCTAGCAGGGCTGGATTTACCTGTCAGGTGCCTGTAGGCACAGAATGTTCTGATATGTTCCATTCCTCTCCCTACAATATATTCATTAAAAAAATAAATAAATAAAGGTTTTCACTGCACAGTTTGAATGTGAAGCAAATCGGTTCTTGCATGCATATATGAATTAAATTATGAGAATGCATGCATGTAATTGCCATGTATGTGGTATTGTGTGACTGCATGGATTGATATAGTGAGAATGCATACAGGCAGCGTGTCAGGCAAGGCATGTTTGTAGTGTTGGGCTGCATCAATGTAAGAGTGATTAAACAAGAGTGCAATGGGGGGAATCTATCAAAGTGTTCAGTTGTAAAAAGTGCTGCAAAAATGTAAAAAGGAAGATGTCACAAATGGAATGTCCCCTGGTTTCCATGGCTTTCCCACTTTTAGTACTTTACACCACGTTTTAGAACAGAACACAAATCTTCCCCAGTGTGCCAGGCCATTTATATAGCGTGAGAAAGCATGCAATGTGTAAATGCAAGAGCTTACTGTGGTAATCATTAAGTTTTACCTTCCCTGACATTCTTTGATCATGGGTCCTTGTAATCCCAGTGACTCATAAAACCATGTTCCCCATTCAACACCACCCCTGCCCCCTCAAGCATTCCACCTCCAACATTATTTCTCCCTAATCCAAAATCACCCTCTTTAACCCCTTAAGGACACATGACATGTGTGACATGTCATGATGCCCTTTTATTCCAGAAGTTTGGTCCTTAAGGGGTTTATCAACTCACTTAATAATTTTCTCCAACATTATGTCCCCTTCTTTATCTTGAGGTCCATGCATCTAACAAGCCCAGCTTCCAACTTAGCCTATCACATTCAGTTTCCCAAGATGCTCAGTTTAGTCCTCACACTCTCTTTCTCACTCTGCTGACAAGATCCATGTGGAGAGGGTGACAGGAAGTTTCCTCTGTAGACATTTTAGGAGGAAGTGATAAGGAACTGATCAGAAGCTGGGAGGATTCAGGGCCTGCCACAGTAAATATCTACAGCACTGAATCACTTCACTCTCAGGGGAAGGACAGCAGAGCAGCGTTACCCTTTGCTATTAAAGAGGTTACATTTTCTAACTAGTGAGTTTAGTCCCAGAGCTTACCCAAGCTGTAAAATAAAGGGTTACCTTACCTGTATACTAGTGGAGAGATGGTTCCACATTGCAGCTCTGTCCTGCCTGCCAGGATATCATCAGAACGTATGATGATCTGGCCAATCCAATGCTTCTCATACAGAAGCATTGGAAGACAGGGTATATGCACAGCGAAAAGAGAAACAATGCATTCTGCCTCTTGCCCCAGCGCAAAGGAAGATCATCCTCCTGGCTGTCTGATGGACAGCAGGCAAGGGACAACTTAGCGTTTTTATAAAAGTGCTGATTTGTCTTGAAATCTACATTATTATTTTTTAACAATGTGAAAGTGGGCACACTCTCTTATGTGTTTGCACACTTGCTTTAATTAGAACATATATGTTGTTCTTTTACAGGTCAGTGTGTATTTTGGGATTAAAAAGAAAAAAAAGTTATAAGTAATCGTGATAAATATACAAATCGCACAAAGAGCAAAGATGTGTTTGGAAATTAGGTTAATAAACAAAAAGATTGTCAAGATCACATTTATAGATTTTCTTTCTGGAAACTCAAAAAGTATATATTGATCAAGCATGCATAATCCGAATTAGAAGTCCCACTCCATGCATAGCATGCAACAATGAGCCTATTTGCATGCATTAGACCTAGTACAGCCCTGAAGCTAAACTAACCTGTCTGATGGTGGGAAGGATATATTTTCTTCAAACATGTCACCTTCTACTCCCAAACTGCTCCAGCTACTGCTGTTACCATTACTACCAGAAGAAGACAATATTGAAGAACAACCTCAGTTTGTTTAAAAAAACAAAAACAAAAAACATTAAAAGAAAAAATAATCCTATAAACATAGCAATGTACTGAGAGAAAAAAAAATGATTTGAACTGATTTTTAGACGATACAGCAGTTAGTGAGTTAATGATATACGGAGCTATAGAACACATTTTCAAAGTAGGCATTTACAATAATAGGGTCAAAAGGGCAAAATATTCTAACACCAACATCTCACTTGAAAACTCTGCAGAGAATTTTTGTCAGTTTCTGTCACTTAAAACAGGAATGGAAATAGAGTGACAAGAGTTCCCTCTGCTGGATATTTAGTACACATACACTTTGTATATTCATATCAATAGACACAGACTAAACATCCCTTTAAGCATTTTCTCCGACGAAAGATACATACATACATACATACATACAAAACTACCCTTTTTACAAAACATTGAAGTCTTTCACCCATTTATTTCAGGGGTGAGAGCACCTATTGGCTCAAATATTTCAGACATTTTTTTATGGATACTGCAGATACTAAAGCGGACATAGGATAGCCTGGCATTCTGAGATATCCATTTTTTTGTGTGGCACACATTAATGTGCGGCTCAGTTGCCTGCATTGTCCCATTTAAAGGAACACAAACATGGTCAGGAAGACAAACATGTATTAATGACCCTACAGTGTTAAAGTCACCATCTAGCACCCATTACTCCCATAAATGTAGTAAAATCGTACTTGTATTCCAGTCTGCTGCTGGCTCTGCCCACAACCCGCCTGCTTGGCTGACATCATCAGAAGTGTTGAACAAAAGCCAATCACGTTTTCCCACAGGATTGGCCAAGATTGTCAAGGAGGCAGATCAGTGGCAGAGCCAGCACAAGTGAAACACAGCCCTAGCCAATCAGCATCAAACTTCAGTGACTCCATGCAGAGGGTGGAGACACTGAATGGCAGTGCTACACTCTGCAACACTGCCTCGGGAAACACCTCTGGTAGCAATCTGAGGAGTGACCAGTGGAGGTATCCAAAGGCTGTAATGTAAACACTGCCTTTTCTCTGGAAAAAAGCCGCAAAAAAACCCCAAAAAACAAACAATGTTTACTGCAAAAAGCCTAAAATGACTTATTATACTCCCCAGAATAAATACAACCAGAACAAACCTACAGGTCTCAGGATCGATTGGGCTTTCAGTGATGTGGCTACATACATGATTGCATCTGATCATGCACACACTGGCAATAAGATTAATAATTTACAGGGCTCAAAATTTCAAGTTATATGCCATTAGCCAGGTAGAAAAGCTATTCATTAATGCAAACATATCCCTTTATTGTGACCTTTGGAAATGGACAGGACAGAGGCGTACACCCTGACCATAATGACTTGCACACTCAAGTTTTGTAGTATTTACAGCTACACAGATAATATATCAATAAGTAATTATATAGCGCGAGAGAGAGAAAATATTTTTAGCTACACAAACAGCACCAATTATTCTCACAGGCAGTGGATGTCATAGCCCACCTGATATAGCTGAATTTCCATTCAACAAGGGTTAGAGGGCGAGTGGAAATTTTGAGTTAAACATACCTGTCACTAAGGTGCAGAAAGCTGCTGCTTTCATCTTGGTGGTCATCTTCAAAGCTCAAATTGGACCAACTACCAGTGCTGTCATCACCAATGCTGACGCTGGTCTGCTGACTGGTGATGGAGTCGGCCGACTGAAATCCATCTTTGCCATTAGAACTAAAACAAAAATACAAAAGGATAAGGAACACCCTGCTGGTTAAAAACTAATCAATATAAAATAGACATTATTTGCCCACATAAAACTATTTTAGTTCATACAATCTTGTTCAACTATTTCATTATTGTCCTACTGTTGAGCAACAAAAATGTATTATTTTAAATACAAAGCATTACTGGTACACTTTTGAAACAATGGAAGTTCTTACATGCCTACAAGAACGCAAAAGAAATTCAATCTGGATTTTGTGAAGTTTTCCCATACATGCATGAGGTGTACATTTCACATGATCCAACGGTTATTCCAACAGACAGATCAGGTTTGCAAGCCCTGTACTCCATGGTGGGTGACCACATCTGTGCATTGTTATCCATTGTTATCCATTTTGCTATGTCTGACTGACACCTTGCTGCACGAGAACCCCTAATCTGAGGACAGGGCCGGGTATGCCTAAGGTAAGTCATAGTTACACTCAAAGTAAGTAGCTGCTACCATATTAATTTAACCCTTTCCTGATAATGATATGGTAGAAGGAGCAGAGGAGACCGAAGAAAACATGAATGTGTCGCTGCAGCTCTACTGTAATGGCTGCAAGTAACTCCCACCAATCACAGACATGTAAATACAGGTCTTGTCCTTAGATTAGGAAATCTCCTCCTAACAAAATTATAATAATTATTAGTATTCCAGTCCATTCCCAGAGTTGGATAAGGGAAAATAATGCCATTTCAGATGTCCTGTAGACATTCATGAAGTCTCCAGGACACCTGAATGGCTTTATATTCCTAATAGGCAGTTCAGAGTATTGTAACCTGTATAGCGGGTATCTCAAATGTGGCCGACCATGTTGATGGCCTACAAATCCCATTACTGTTTGAATGGAAAAGATGGTAGAGAATCATGTGAGTTGTAGTTCAGCAACATCTGGGAGGGTTAATAGTTTGAGATGCATGCTCTCTAGACATTCACATATATAGAGTTAAGGGGGAATAAAGAAGAGGAGCTGTCATAGTTTGGATACTGGAACAGAGCACTACAAGAATGTCAGCACTATTGTTAAAATGTAGTTCTACATTGACATGGATTGTTAAGGTTAGCAATACTAATTTACAATTTCCTTTGATTGCTGCCTCCTTTCTCAATAGTTTCAACACTAGTCAGTCTATATACCTCTTTATCTGTGCTCAGTACTCCTACACTGTCTTGTAAGGCCACCAATAATGCAATCAAAGCTACTGGTTCCTTGGCCTACTACAATGGTAATTGTAGCAAATCCTGTTTTCAATGCAGGTTCTCCTCCCAACCCACGAGGTCGGTCACTGCAGAAAGCTTACAATAAACAAAAAACCAAACAAAAACAAAAAAATAACACTGCCACAGGGAATAAATTCCAAAGAACAGTCAAATTAAACTGAAAAATACTGATGTTTAACTAGAGCCCAAAGTGACGGTCTGTAAAGCCAATATTTTCCAGTAATTTTCCATCTGTTTTGTAATATTATATAACTTTTTTCTAAACACACACACATAATGAATATTTACAAGAAACTAATAAAGAGTAAATAAATCCCGGTCCCACAAAACATGTTTATGCTGCTTTGAATGTGTACCTTATGTTAACTACATGGCCAATATTCTTCATAGCGGACATCATGATTTCAGTGGTAAGGCTGTCTGCAAAGCTTGTCCCATCTTGCCCAATGCCACTATCAGCCGCCAGACTTGTGTTACTTAGTTCACGTTCTGCTTTCTCAATTGCAGCACTAACAATTTTTTCTGCAAATTCAGCTCTCTTATCCAGGTCAATATGAATTTTCGGTATATTAAGGTGGAAAAGCCTTGGCTTTTGACAAGGGTTGTGTCTAGACTTTGAACATTGTTTTATTTTTCGGGAGACATCATGCCCTAACAAGAAGTGACATGAAGATGCTTGTAAACCTGGTTGTTCCGTTACACTGCAGAGCCTACAAGCAGTACCATATGAATGTACAAGTTTTCCAACGCATGGACCTTTATCTTGTTTTTTCTTCCTTTCAATCGCTTGTAGTCTTGCCGCTTCTATGCTAAATTCTAAAGTGCTATCAACAACTTTGCACGCATATTGTTCAATAGCTTGAATAATACCGTCGCTAAAACCATTTTCGTTTAGGCTACCTGTGCTGTGATATAGTTTGTGTTTATGTGCAAAAGGAATAAGAGTTTTTGGAAAGGATGTTTTAACAAGATCGCTAGACATATCGTTGATTTTTGACTTTGTGTAGAGACAGGAATCAGTCAGAGATTTGGGAAGAGAGGCAGCTGACATGTTTAACTTTTTCTGGACATCACAAGTTATGGTGTGAGCAAGTGATTCTGCAAAATGAAGTAGGCCTGTAAATTTTGATCTTCTTGCAGCTCTTCCACGTACAGACGGCTCTTCACTATGATAGTGATGAATGCTACTTCTTCTGAGTTTGTCTCTTTCCGCATTGTGGGTCCTGTTTAGAAGAGTTAGGATTTCCTGTGTTGTATTCACACTGGGTTTCATTCTAGGAACAGTTTTCCGATTAGATTTGAGTTTTACAGACTTTGATGCTTGTTGTAGTCCAGACTTTATCGCCCCATAAACTAATCTGCTGGCATATTGATCTAGTATTAATTCACTATTCCCCCCTTCCATTTTTAGCACGCGTATTATATGGTCAGCATACTCTTCTGTTACACTTTCACAGCTTGGGTATTTTGATGTTAGACCAGGAACTTCATGATATAGAGGCAGAGAGAGTGTGGTGGGATCTGAGGCTTTAAATATAATGGAATAACCTCTATCTTTTGGCCTACAATCTCTATTCTGCTTTCTAGAGTTACACCAATTCGCATCACGATTTAATATTTTCTTCTGTGTTTTCAGACCCTTACCCATTGCTTTCTTAGCATCAGTAAAGACCTCACCAACAATCCCACCTGCATATTTATATAGGGTATCTAATGATTCCTCTGAGATATTTCTCATGTATGCAGGGTACCCCCATTTATCGCTCAAGACACTTAAGAGTGACCTGTTCCTAATAGCGGGTCTATGGACATACTCATCGTCTAAAGAATAAGCAGCCATTTCAGTGGCGACAGATATGATATTGGTAGAGAGGTAGTCTGCATATTGGAAGGTTTCTTCAGAAATCTCAAACTCTTGGGTTGTATCTTCAGAACTTTCATCAGCACTGGAACTTTCGACTTCTTCTGACAGTGACCTCATCAATTTGAGCATGAAGTCATCCTTCTTTGTACAATCATGTTCGAAACCAGAGAGGTGAGGTGTAGAGGGTGGTGTAGCTGGATAAAACTCTTTTGCTAGATGTCCTTTAAGTTTCTTATTAAGTTTTTTCATATTCCTCTCTGGGCTTACATCGTAAGATGTTAGAGGAGTTGGTGGTGGTGTACCAGGAACTACAGTTACACTTGGGTCTCTTTGACTGATTTTATCCTCAGCAAATGAGTTATCACCACAACTACACATTACAGAGGAGAAGCTATTGATGTGCGAAAGGCAATTCTGCAGACCAAACACTGATGAAATTGGCATATCAGCATTTTGATGGTTTCTTTTTGAACCAATCCCTTCAGGATTCATTTGGTTCAAGGAAACATTTGCACTCAAAGTAGTCATGCTTGTGGGATGTTTATCTCCAATCCCCACAGCTAACTTGCAGTAACGTGGGGTATATTGCAAGGATTTGGTACACATTGAAATCAGGCAATCTTGCTCAGTAGATACTGGGGAATGTTTAAGTATCTTCGTGTCCTGAGGGAGACAGGAGTCATGGTCTGTAAAAGTGAATGGCAAATCACAAGCTGCATCCCATTTTTTTGAACCTGTGTCCACTGCTTCACCAACTGAGTGTTCCAATATACACGTGGCCAAATCATCTGCAAAATAATTATTCAAAGCTTCTTCATCTAATAAGTGATTCTGACCAGGAATTCCAAGAACTTGTTTTGATAACAACTCAGCATAATCTTCCGATTTTTTTCCCTTGTCAGAAGATACACCATTGTAAACTTCACTTACTATCCTATCTACCATAGTTACAGAAAATGCCTTTAAGCCTTCAGATCCTTCCATTCTTTGTGTGAATTTCAGATCTTGTGACTCATGTTGGTCACTATAAATGTTATATTTATAGTTGGGTGGTAAACTTTTAGCAGATGCAAATTCACTCATTCCTTTTGTGGAAATAACATAGTTTTCTACATTATCAACACATATGTCATCACTCCCTGAAAGGTCCGTATTTTCATTTGTGAAACCATTTGTTGTCGGTTGCTGGCTTAGGATTTGGGCAGCAACAGGTACTGGAACGGAACTGACAAGACCAGATGTAAAAAACAAGGCATACTGCAGGGTGTAATCTTTTTTGCTCTCCTGTTCAGCAGTCAGTGGACCTTGAATTCTGTCATGTAGACTGGGGAATGCTACAGAGGTCTGTGTTGACTGCATCAGGCCTTCAGAACTTACATATTTCAGGCTGTCCAAGGAAACACTGATTGCTGCTTGAGTGGTAAAGGTTACATTCACTTGGGATAATTCAATGAATGCTTCCTGAATTACAGATTCTGATAAATCTTTTGCGTAGGAACGCACAACTACATCTTCATAGTCAAAAGCCTGCAAAGGGGCAACAGTTGGGGTGGGTGGGTGTGAAAACTGACAGACTTCCATGATCCCTTCAAAAACAAGTTCCTCAGCCAGGTCTGCAGCAAATCGCGTGACTGCGTTGGTTACCATCTGCTTCTTTATGTAACGAAGTTCTTGTAAAGCGCTGGAAATTACTTCACTCACCATTAGATTTGCCAGTCCATTGATAGCACGTTGCTTTATTGAAAAGGCTTGTCTTCTTCCAATTTCATAGAAAGCCATTTGAAAAACATATGATGTTAGTCTAGCAGCCAAATGGCAAAGCGCACTTGTACATGATGAAACACCTTTTTGGAGATCTTTGAAAGCACTACCCAAACTTTTTTCAACTAGATCTGTAGCAAATTTTTGTATACCTCCCTTCGCTGTTTTTTGCTTTGACTTTAGTTTTCGCTCGTACTCTCTTGTGTGGGATTTACGTTTCAGTTTTATAACTTTGTCTTGTCCTTTTTTTGATACGCCAACATTTAGGGCTGGCTTAGCATTTAGTACAGAGTCAAACATTTCAATACATACACGATTTGCATAGTTACTATATGCAGCAGTACATGATTTGTCTGTACATGAACCAGCATCTCTGGCGCTATCCAAATTATACAAACACTCCGCAGATGTGGAAATACTAAGGGGGCTAAAAGCAGATGATCTAATAGGACTGAACAATGTGGCAGAATCCTCTACAGATGTCTTCACAGGACGAGGGGACTCTGGCACATCACAAATGCCACCGTATGGAGACTCAGGTTTAAGAGGAGTTGGTTTCTTTACATTGGCAGAAAGCATAGGGCGATCAAATTTAAACCTCTGAGGGTTCATAGAACCCCTACCTTGGTGTCCATGTGTACATTTTTTCTTTTTTGGAGGGCTAGCCAGTATGGGTTTCTGGTTAGATTTGTAGTCTTTTTCTAGAAATGGTTCAGTGTCATCAAATCGATCAAAGCTATCAAAAAATTCACTTAGTTCTGAATCAGAATCTTCAATACCATCTTTACCAACAGGGATCTTTGGCAGATTAAGCTTTGCTCTCATGCTTTTCTGGTAGCCCTCCTCGTCTAAGAAGATAATTGGACTTGGACTGGAGCAGTCAGATTCTGAGGAGTCAGCAGGAGAAGGAGAAAACAATTTTTTGCCTTGACCAGATATTTTTCTCTGTTTCCAGGAATCGCATATTGATGTTGTGACTGTATTCTTAATAGAGGATGACAAATCTGGAAGTCCCATGAATCCCATTAACACTGCAGACTTTATAGATGACCTGCGACGCACAGAACTAAATATGATTTTTGAACCGGTGATATCAAGACAATGAACTGGCTGTGTCTGAGAAGAAGCATCTCGCTGATTTCTTGTTATTTCACATCCTAGGGTGACAAAAGAAAGAGAAAAGAAGTTAGAGGAGTTGGTGGTGGTGTACCAGGAACTACAATTATACATGGGTCTCTTTGACTGATTTTATCCTCAGCAAATTATCACCACAACTACATATTACAAATGTGTAAAAGGCAATTCTGCAGACCAAACACTGATGAAATTGGCATATCAATATTTCTTTTCTTTTTTTTTTTTAACCAATCCCATCAGGATTAATTTGGTTCAAGGAAACATTTGCACTCAAGTCGTCAAACTTGTCTTATGTTTATCTCCAATCCCTAAAGCTAAACTGTAGTAATGTGAGGTACATTGCCTGATTTCAATATGTACCAAAACCTTGCAATCTTGCTTAGTAGATACTGGGAAAGGTTTGTGTGTCCTGAGGCAGACTGGAATCATGATCTGTAAAAGTGATTTTCAAATCACAAGCTGATTTTTAAACATTTAAATATGTTTTATGCATTTTCTAGTTAAAAATCTATTGCACAGTAAGGCCATACAGCACAAACTATCTAAGGGTTTTTGAGAAGCAGTTTGCCTATAGGCATATACACACAGTGTACTCTGCCATGCTTTACTGATTTCGGACTCTGTGCATCAGGTGGACTCACATCCGATCAGGTCTTATTTTAAAAGTACTTTTATAACACATGAGCTACAGAAGTAATAATGACATCTTATCAGTAGATAATGAGTTTTAGTAAATTGAGAACTGATCTTCAAAATTTACAGAAAACAGTCGTGCTGGAAAAATACATTCAGCTATTTTTGGGCTGAAAATGTCATTGATGATTGCCAAATTCAAAACTTTTTAGTGAAATAAGAGCTGAACTATTGCTATAAAACCAACTTAATCTATCACATTAAATCAAATCTATGCCTTTCCTGTTCTGTATATCACTCACTATAGTAATTACACTCCACAGTTGTGTTGCTTAAAACACAGATGAGCCAACTGTAGATCCTTACAGTAAAATCTCATTATCGCCATTGTTTGACTGGTAAGATAAGAGTTTTGAATTTTAACAGTTAAGAAAAAAAAAAAAGATTTAAATAATTAAATATCTGACCAAAACAGAAGTCATTAATAAATATCTTAATAGACTCTGTAAGCAATGGTTCCATTTGTGTTCCATGTGTATTGATTACACTGCCTCAGATATTGCATGCATTAAATATTTCTTTAAAAATTTAAATTGAAAGCTCACCTTGCTCTTCATTTGCAGGTAAAGATTCTTCTTCATCTAAATGCTCAAAAGCAGTAACAAAATCATCCTCTATTGAAGATACTGACTGGTTTGTATCATCATCTTCATTGTTTGATGCCTTTCTATGGAGTCTGTTCAAGCAGTCCTGCTTCACTGTGTATTGTATGCCTGCTCTATATTTGCTCAACAGAACAAATAAAGAATCGCTTTTTATGTTTGGGGAGGCTGCAGAGGTCATCATACATACTGCTCCTGGAAGAAAATTCTTAAAGGGAAAACGAAAGGAATTATTATTGCACATTATAGTGAAAAAAAGGATGAATAAAAGCACTTACGCCAACAGAATTTCAAAGCATACAACAAGCAGCTAACAGGTAACTCGTGTAGCTATTCCTTCTGTAAAAGGACACCAAATTAAACCATGCAAAAAGAATGAAGAACCCAATGTGAACACGGAACACCGAACATAGGGGTAAGTCGCCCAAACTATTAACTGGAGTGTATATTCTCACACATGTAAAACAATCATGTAATGCTGTGTTAACAGGGAAATAATTAGGTAGCTGTGCCATTTAGGTGGCACACCACCTTTCTTCTCAACTCCCACTGCGCAGTTCTAAGATTAAACAAGATACAACTAGAGTAGTATTTTTGGTATGGATAACATGCTGTTACCTAGAGCCGGGCATATGTAGGCTTCTTGGGAGGTGAGAAAATATCTACCATTTCAAGTTGTGTTTTTAATGTCCATACTGACTATACTACACCAACATTGGTTAGTTCTCTTGTTTGCTCTTGAGAACTGTGTGGTGGGAGTTGAAAAGAAAGGTGGCGTGTTACCTAGAAGGCACAGAAGTCTAACAGTAAAAATAATCTTTCTAGGCTCCTTCACAGGTGAGTGCAACACCTCAAATCAAATTTGCACTCGTTATATCATTTATAAATACAGTATTGCACTATAGTATATATTCTTTTGTTTTACATTTTTACATGTTGTATGAGAATATACATCCCAATTAATACAGGAGTAAGCAAACTAAACTATTAAGTGCTACACTTTCACATTGTTTGGGTTTTTCACCTTTAATAATTCTTGTACATTAACATTATCTACAAATGTAAAGATTGATGTAGTCATTCACTAAACCTGAAGATTTAAAGAATTTTATCAGGCAAATGGCTAGAATGGTAGGGTTGGAAAAAAATGGATGGAGATTTTTCTCTGGTTTGGTTTTATTGGACTACAAATTGCAAATCTCTGCATTTCCACAAATAATAGTTCAGGAAAGAAAGTGGAAATCTAAAGTATATTTATTTTTATTAGGCAAATCCAAGGTATATACTGCATTTAATTAAAAACACACACACAAAAAAAAAAACGAAGACTTCAACAAACGGTGTGGTTAAAAAAAAAAAAAAAAAGAGACTGGTATCAAGACAGTGCTAGATTTCTTAAATCCTTTCGATTCAGGTTGCAAGCTGTACTTGGCAGGAGTCCCAATCACCACCAATCCAGTAACGTTAGTTGCCAACTGTACCTGAGCTTATCTGAGCAAGCCATACAAACTTACTGAAGAGTAAACTGCAGGCAATTCAAAATGAATTTCAAGTTTTAGGCCAAAAGAATCCAATAAATTTTTTAAAGTTTTTCAATTCAGTTAGATTTTCATTTCAGCTGTTCTGGCCTTTAATCTGACATTCAATTTTAATACCAGAAAATGCATACTATATTTAAGCAACCCCACAACACTCACAGGGTTATTCACCAATGTGTGAATGGACTCCAGACTAACAAAAACTTGAGGGGAAGAAAAAATAAAAATCACTGATATTTCTCAATGTATTTGCAATTCGCTTGTTTACTAAAAGGTAAACCAGACAAAATTTAATTTGCTAGGCTAGGCTTTGCATATTGATCTAATACCAAATTCCTATTGGATTCACATCTGATCTGTTCTAGGATAAGGCAAAAATGCAAAGTACACACACCTATAGGAAAATAACCAAATAAAATAAGCAGGGGTCTTTGAGACCCACTATTAACAATGAGGGACCCATAGATGAGGCCTCTCCTATTTTACTCATAGAAGATGGTGTAAAGGTTAGTAATAGCAATGGGCAGCATGACTGCATGGGAAGCCACTATCATAATAATGCTTCAAAGAGCCTTTTTCAGTCTGTGCTGCACCCAGATTGGAACTTTATTTGCATTAATATATTGTAAATCTCAAAGGTTCAGCAGTATCTGAGTGGGTATAATTCAGTGTACATTCCGTTATTCAGATGTTTTCTTAGAGATGGAGATTTAAAAAAATTGTGAATCATGTCTGGATTGTGATTATTTTTTATTACCTAGTCCAGATTAAAATCAGTTAATAAACCTCTGATTCTTGAAGATAATTAATATATTTTATTTCAGTATTAAGGTAACATTTCAATTTGCAAGAACAAAATAAATGAGAAATAAAAACAAACCATAAAAAAAATAATAAAAAAAAAACATAAAATGTTACCATAAAGTTGTCACTCTTTAGTGGGGACTACCCACTGATTTTAGCTCTTCGTCATTTACAGCTGAATTTCAGATGCCAAAGTCATTTATGTGCATAAAAAGATCTGTGCCATATACAAGTCATATTAATCACTTTGCAGGATGATGCATATACTATACTCCTCAATGATTGCCATCAGACTCTCCCCTAGCCGCCAGTCATTTCAAGAAGTCACTGAAAACACACCTCTTTAGGAAAGATCACCATCTTCCTGGGTTATGCTTCCCTCATCTCCATAGTCAAGCTCACTCTCTCCTGTCACTATTCAGTTTCTTCAACACACCATTTTTACTAGTTTATTTCAATACAGGCAATTTATCCATCAACCTCTACTCCATCTGACACGGTGTTATTTCTCGTGTGTCTTTACCCCTTCTCCTAACCTCGTTCTCCTCTTGTCCCAGTTATATTCCATAAATTACTAACTGTAAAATGCTACACAATATGTGGATGCTATATAAATGCTAATAATAACAACAAATTATGAAGCGAGTAAAAAAAAAAAAAAAAAAAAGTCTAGGAAGTGAAACTGCGAGCATTTACAGAGAGAAAGCTGTGTGCCAAGGAGGGATAGTTATGTTTAAATAACTTCCCCTTTGTCTATTTTCTTCTGCTAAACAGGTTTTCATTTTCATATTAAAAGAAAAAAAACTATTAAAAACTTGTAGCGCACTGAAAACTGAATGACATTTATGTCAACTAACGTAAAGTTTAATCCCAATAACACTCAGGTTACCATCATAAATGTATATGTAAGACACACACAATGCTCTCACCACCAGTCCTGGGTAAAACAGAATAGGACAGTAATTACTCTACTTACAGCACAGCAGTTAACACACAGTGCTGCCATTGGACATTGAGGGGCCCTCCAGACACACACATGCAAACACATATTACCAGATGTGGCAGAACCCGCCTTGCCACTGGACATTGGAGAGGCCTGGCTGCCCGCCTCCTACCTGCTGACTATGGCCCCTGGTAAATTTGTACTTTTAATGCAATATTTGGGCATGTGATATTTTATATTGCTGCTACTGGCCCTTTAAGGGCCATCCGGGGACATATTATGACTTTTAGGAACAATACCCCTTTAAGACTTGGTAGCAGATTACAGTAAGGATGTCTTTTATATTATGTATGTTTCTGTGTGTTCGGCTAAATTGTATATGTGTATGCAGAATTCCCCTGATTGTTCGGTAGAATCACTCCATTCATTATATTGAGTGAAACTACCGAACAACCAGACCACCCAGGAAGAAGAGTGCCTCCAATTACCGTTTGCAACAATGTTGCAAACGGGTAATTGGCAATCGATGTAATGCGTGGTTTTGTCCTCTGGGTGGCCGCCATTCGGGAAACGAACACGTGGCGGCGGCCATCTTAAACTCCCGAACAGCGGTGTTTTGCCGTCGAGTGTCTGGAACTAAAATCGGACACTCAACTAGGCAAACACCGCTGAGACCTCCAGACTTCCATGAATTCGTGTGGAAACTACCAAATGACCCGCCGTTTGGTAGAAAGAACCCCACGAACAAGGGAATTCGTTTAAACCCTCCCCAGGCTTTATAACCCAGGCAATTCGTGTGTTTTCATTCCCTTTTCTGTGACCGACTGCAGGGCCAAAATACATGGAACTATTTTCGGATACTTTTGCCATGCAGTCGGTCAAAACTTTAACCCTCCATAATTCCCGAACCCCTGGTCCGATCTGGGTGGTTTTTGGATATGTGTCTCACCCAGATCAGGGCTACCAGGGGATGTAACATTTAAAGGGGTAACCCTATGTTTAGGGGTACATCCAGTAACCCAGGGAATTTGTGTCTGTACTAATGGGATTATGTGTCACACTAAGGGGAGGAGATGTGTGGGAGGTAACTGGTACATTATTGGCTGGGGTACTAATTGTTGTGGATCCCTCCCTTGCATGGGACAATGTCTTAAAAGGAGGTCGTGTGAATAAATCTGCAGTTCCTGCTTAACCCTCAAAGTGAAGTGTCGTCTCATTATTGGGGAAGGATTTATTGTATGCTGTTCCAGTTTGACTGCTAGGAGTCTAAACCCATCCGTATGGTTTTTGCCTATCCAGCTGTTTATAGCATTCATATGCTTGAGAGAAGGTATACGCTTCTCCGGTTCAGTGATTGTGGTGTCTGCCAGAGTGCTTGGAGTCATCAGGAAACGCTAGGAGCATCCTTTAACGGAGGTACCCAGTCAGGGTGCCAGGTGATCCGTTACACCAGACATTAACAGATACACACAAGCATTCACAAACAATTACAGAAACACGAATTTGCAGACATCAGAAATGTGAAATCTATGATCTCCCAGTGCCCGAGATATGAAGACTTAAGTGTCGGGCCAGTAACAGGACTGCAGGGAGGACAATGGCAGAGAGCACATGGAATGCACCTCAGGTGCATGCAAACTACAGTAATCTGCTTACTAATGTGTCAAGGAGCAAGCTGGGAATTCCGGTAGTTGTGCTTCGACACACCGCATGCTGGATCGCAAGAAAATTATTTTTGTGGTCTCCACCTGCTGGAGATGCAGACCGCAAACTGCCCCCCTCAACCACCAGGTAGTTTAACCCCCAAAGGACCATAGTACCCCCTACCTGCAGAAGGCTTAGAAGGGGGAGACAGCACATTATACACAGCCAGCAAGCAATCACACAAACAGCAAGAAGACATTACACACACTACACAAAGCCAGCATTCACACACAAGGTGCACAATAAACACAAAATACGCACAGCTGGCTCAAATCACCAACTCACTACATAGATCTGGCATGCACCACACACTATGGTGGGAGAAAGCAGGTCCTGTGATACTCAGAAATATTTACTAAACACCAAATTGTCACAAATTAAGTCTGAATGGAAACAAGGTAAAAAGGTTGCAACGAGAGCTGAGGTGGATAATTTTCTCAGTTCAGCTTTTTTGTCTCCATTCATCCAACTGGATTTAATTTGCAAAAACGGTGCCCCAATCGGACATAAATTTTGTGTGTCAAGACAAGTAGATTGTCGTGACGGACATGTAGATTGGTCTAGCTGGAGTCTCTTATACAAGCACATTTCTTCTTATTTTTTAAAAATTTCCACACCCCCTAGACATGCATATAGATGTATATTGCTAAACAAACACAGATACACACAAAAATCAATAGTATGCATATATTAGCCACCATCTTAGCTGCACAACTTTGCCATGCAGGTGTGTGGCTTCCGTAGAGTCCATTTGTAAAGTGCTGGATCAAGTACCTGGCTGGTTCCCTCTTTCCTAAGCAATGGAGGAAGTGAAGTGTAACCATGCTCTTCCAAATTGTTTTATGCCTCGTCTGATGTGCAGCTAAATACAGTACTACTTAAGGTTATGGTGGAGGTGCCACTAACCACAGAAATACATTTCAAGAATGTACATTTATATGCACTTGTACACACCCATTACAAGGGATGGGCGTGGGAAATATAGATGTTTAAATGTTATGTTTTGTTACCTGTGGCCCACATGATTTAGAGGGTGCCTTGCTCTCTTTCAGCAAAATAACTTCATTTTCACTTAGATTACAGAGGTGTAGTGACTGAATCAGTTCAGGTATATCCATGTGAAAAGACGCTAATCCCTATGTAAAATATAAAGTGAAATAAAGAAAACAGGTTAATGATGTTAATGTGCGGGGGGGAGGTTGGGATGGGGAAGGGGAAAAAGACTTTGATGAATGCATAAAGTAGTTTGTGATCTGTAAACATACATTATAACTTGTAAGACGCTCTGAATGCAAGAACTTTCTACCGCAGAAACCAATGGGCAAAAAAACAAAACATGCAATAGATGTTATCTGTTAGAGCACAAAAAGTTCAAGTCTTCTTGTAAATTTGTGATCTGCTGGCAAACATGCCTTGGAAATATAAAAACTGTTTGACCCCTAGCCTAATAAAGACCATATCAACACTTGTGTGAAGATCTAAGCATTATAATTGCCCATGATACTGTAAGAACTATTAAATGTTCTGTTTAAGTATCTCATTATCAGCAGAGCAAATATACATAAATCTTTTTTTTTTTTTTTTTAGTCTGGTTAAAAAATGCTATGACAAAACATTAAGGCAGGTTTACTCGAGTGTATTCAGAGAGGTGTTATTTACACACCTTCAGCATCTCCCTTTTTTTAGGATGGGCATTAACTATTTGGGGTCCGAATCCTTCTGTCCCTCGTTTCTGTCCAAATGTCCCTTTTTTCTAGGTGCTCCATATGTTTGGTCTGAGTGTGTAACAGGCTGCAATATAATTCACAGTCATGCGTCTTTAAATTACAAGAAGTGTATTTAGGATAAGACAAGATTTTGGTATTGCTCTAAATTACATTTTCATTTACATTAATGATTGTCATGCAGTTACCTGAAATGTGCTAGTAAAAGTCCGTCCCCCAGACCACACTTACAGTGACACCTCTTTACCGCAAGTTCCTCTTTAGCCATTTGCAATGTTGGGAGGTAAGTTTATACAGCTATTTAGAAGCACCTACCTGAAGATGCGCAGGTCCTGATTCCCTGGAAAGGCCTACAAACGTAACCTGCAACACAATTTAAATCCAGTTTCATACATGCACTTTATAATGGAATTAAACAGACAACTGATTGAGAGCCACAGTATAAGCTTGTAAGGATTGCTTTTCAGAAAATAAAGAGACCGAGCGAAGGGATAAATTCCTAGAAATATTACAGCCACAAAGAATGACGATTCATTGCAAAACATTTGATAAGCCACAATATATAAAGGCAAACTTCTAAATGGTCATTTCATTATTAATTGCACAAGTTTTAGTCCTTTTTTGGATGAAAATGATATACACAATCAGATCCATATTCTTACAGACCATAAACCCTACAAAACAATCACCCAAAAAAAGGCTCAAAAACTTCTCTCACTCAACCTAAGAGTCCCATTATTCTTAGCCAGCCAAGATGATGTCGACTCTGGGACAATTTGCTCACATGCTGCTGGGAGCTTTATAATATTCACCCCCCCACTAGTTTTCATAGCTTTTATGTGACTAATATATATGACACAATAATCATAAAACATGCAAACATATATTGGGAACTGTACAGCCATACAATTACACCTGTAATTTACGGCTGTAAATGTATGCATATAAAGCACGGCAGAGACTTCATTTCTGTATTTTAGTGGCAGTGATTCATATAATAATATTATTATTATTATTAATAAGATAGATTAGGAGGAAAACAAGAAACAAACAAACATGTTCACATTTGTAACCTTGTTTTTACACACATGTTCACATTTGTAACCTTGTTTTTTTTGTTGTTTTTTTTTTAGGGTGGAGGGGAGGAGAGGTGAGGGCAGGGCAGGGAGGATGACCAGAAAAGCAAGGGTTACTCTAACGAAAATCATTGATTTACGAAAATACTGGGGGTTTTTTGGTTGGTGTAACCATTTAAGTACACCCTATATTGGGAAATGCTGAAACAGCAAAGTAGGCATCAATGTAACAGGATTTGTAACTAGAAAAATCATGCAAACAAAATACAACTTAAGCTGCCCATTTGCCTATTAAGTTAGGCAGGTTGTGTATAGCAGAAATGTGGCAACTTTTACCCTGACATTTCAAGCCGATGAGAGATGGCGTTTGAATGCACTGCTTGTCAGCTATCATTAGGTTCATAACGATTCTACTTGAAAATGAACACAAAACTGATCAGCTCATGTTCAAAGACATGAATAAGTATGGCAAAAAGGACCAGGAAAATATAGTGCCTGGTTAAGAAGCGGTTATAGAGTAATAAAACACACTAATTAGACACAGATCAAAGCTTTGTGTTACTATTTAGACAGGAAAAAAAAATTTTCACTGCAAATACATCACTGATTTGGGTTGCATGATAATCTGTCATGTAGTTACGTTTTTTATTAAACAAGGAAAACCAAAAAGGAAGTGAGATTTTCGAAAAGTACAGATACAGCTTTCCACAAACATTGTTCAGATCAAAGTACAATCTCCAGCTATCTGATCACAATTTAAAGAGGAAGTGTGAAGAAGCTTCTAGCTTTGTGGTCCAGACTTAGAAAATAAGGCATATATTTTATTTTAGTCTTATTTCAGAGCTGGGACAACTTAAATACCAGCTTTAATAATTTCAGGTGCCAGCATAAATAAACAGAGTATAGGTATACAAAACATTAAAAATGCTGACACTCCTGTATGTTTACTGGAAGGGTTTCAAAAACAATCAGTGTTATATGCCCTAACCAAAATTATGAATTGTTTGAAATTTACCAAGATATTTCAAGGGACACTATAGTCACCAGAACAACTACAGCTTATTGTATTTGTTCTGGTGAGTAGAATCATTACCTTCAGGCTTTTTGCTGTAAGCACTGTCTTTTCAGAGAAAATGCATTGTTTGCATTACAGCCTAGTGGTAACTTCACTGGCCACTCCTCAGATAGCTGTTAGAGATCCTTCCTGGGTCATGGCTGCCTAAAATGCATCCAAACATTCAGTATCTCCTCCCACTGCATGCAGACACTGAACTTTCCTCATAGAGATTCATTCATTCAATTCATCTCTATGAGGAGATGCTGATTGGCCAGGGTTGTGTTTGAATCATGCTGGCTCTGCCCCTGATCTGCCTCTTTGTCAGTCTCAGCCAATCCTATGGGTAAGCACTGTGATTGGATCAGGCTACCACTTCTGATGATGTCAGCAGACTGCTTGTTTTTCTGAGTCTAACAGCATGCAGAGTTACAGCTTCAGGCTTGAATACAGTAAGAGTTTTACTATATTTATGGTGGCATGAGGGGCCCAAGGGGGCTAGATGGCAGTTTTAACACTACAGGATGTAATTTCATATTTTGTTGTGCATCTGTGACTTATTGTATGAATGCTGTTAATCCTAAATCTGAAAATAAACAAATATAAAAAAAATCTCTAATCGCACAATGAAATCGTGGTCTTTGAAGATGCTTCCATAAATAGTGAGATTGAAACAATTCAGAGCAGATTTTCTGCACAAGGAGTGTCTAATGTGAATAAATGTAGTTTACGTTGCACAAAACAAAACAAAAACAAAAAAACTAAAAACGTCATGAAATATATTCTTTTTCTTAGCTGCCTTCTCTTAAAATTATCTTTTCACTTTTATCCTCCACTTCACATATTAATGACAGATGGACGCAGACAATTTCCTCCAGTCTCACACACTATACGAGTTACTCACATTTTCCATTGACCTGAGTTACAAACAGAGCTTCCTTTCCTGTCATTGTTGCGTATTCACAGTACAATGTGGCTTGATCTTTGGAAATGTTTCATGCAGAAACAAACATCTGTTACCTTAATTTTCAGGTCTATGTCACAACGTCACAAGATATACTTAAAGGGTAACTCCATTTAGGGTAAATGTTAGCCGTCCCTGTAAGCTTATTTTGGAAATAAGTGCAAATTTCAAGCAAAAAACACCTTAATAGCACCTCCCGATTGTCAAGGAGAAAGCTAGGAGGGTTTTGTGCCTCAATCGCTTTGGACTGTAACTCAAAGCAGAATTGAGTACTTCTCAAAGAGAAGCACCCAATTGGACACAAGCCATCAATATGGACATCTTTACAGGAGCAGTTCGTAGGTTTAGCAAGAAGATTCTCCTGGCACTGGAGTAAATAAGACTTAAATAATTTGTTTTAACACTTTTACTGCTGGAATGGAGGGTGTGGGAGCTCTGGTATCATCATAACATTTGTATTTTGCATTAGTGTCCCTGCCACACTACAGCAATATGTAAAAATAAATATATAAAAACATTACTGCCATTATAACATTAGAATGCATTTTAAAAAAAAAAAAAAAATGGAGATTGGAGATTATATCAGAGTTAAATTGCCAAATGTGAACATGGGATAGGAGACATTATAGAAAGGTCTGAGAACAAGATTTCTATCACACTTGGATTAAAGAAGTAATCTTTAAAATTGATGTTTATATGGCATACCCCACAAAATGTTTACAATAGACAGGGAAAAAAACTGCAATAGATCTATGTTAGCTAAGAAACATACCAACCAGTCAAACAAGCATGGTCTATAAAAGGAGTGTTGGAATCGGCGCTCTTATGCGCAATAAGCAACAGAGCTTCTATACAGAACTGGGAGAACTGAGGTTCGATTTGGTAGGACGATGGCGATATGGCGGCGGGGCATCCACAGTTGTAATCTGATCTTTAATGGCCACAATGAATTTAATAGTATTGTCACTATAGCATCACACGCAATAGTGTGATGACATTATTTATCCCTCCACCTGTTATAGTATATCTAGCCCCTGTAAGCTCCAATTAGGACACTGGATTGTTTTTAGTGGGTGTGCACTTAGTTTTTAGTCAGGTATAGAAGATACCTGAGAACATGGGTCATCAAGATCCTGTGAACAATGCAGTAGCCGAAACAAAGGAATTTTGGTATCGAGCACTAGGTCAGTAAAGGTGTTTTATACACTGAATGGGTAACCTGTTTATGCACTTTACGGTTGATATAGTTGTTAGTGAATGGTGTGCACATTTGTTAACTGTGAATTATATATATATGTTTACATATTATCTGATCACTATGTATAGGATATAAAGATAAACTTTTTGGGCATATATTGGTGTGCTGTGGGTTTTATAACTATAAAAGGAGTAGCACAATCCAAAGGAATCCTCAATAAATTGCGAGCTAAGTGTCCCTGTCCTATTGTCCCGGGCCACATGGTGTAAGACACCAGAGGTGGAACCCACAGATTACATAATTTGATTTAGCTGAAAATAGAACCCAAGTTGACCAGGTGCGCCTGCTAAGGGACTTTTGTTTTGGTAAACCATTGTGAAGGATTTGGGTGCCTTTGTTATTAATATTATTTATAAAGCGCCAACAAGTTCCGTAGCTCTGTACAATGGGTGGACTTAAAACCTTTACTGTCTTGGATAAGGCTTAAGAGTTCTATTATACAGATGTTTACACCCAATGTTTTTGGAGAGGCAGAAGAGTAAGGAGACGTCTGTCCGGCCACGGTTGTTACTGACAGAACAGAAGCTACTTATGCACACATACCACATACTTACCTCAGTCCATTATCCTCTCCTCCCAGCAGCCCTCCCTCCTTCCCCTTCACTAAGTCTATAAACCCATTCTCTCTCTCTTTGCAGTCCTGCCACCTTTTCTTTCACTTACTTTATTAGCTGTTGCCCTCCCTCTGCACAGAACTTCCTACATGGCGCTGCTGCTATTTCATTTCATGCAGAGCTCCCTCCATGGAGCACCCTCTCCTTCCTCTATTAGCTGCTGCACTCCCTCTGTACTAATCTACTTCCCCACCTATGATTGGATCATGGACTGTAACTGAATTATGCTCGCTGATGACAGTGAAGGCATGGACAAGATAGGCCCGGCCTTGGATTTAATTTAAATTTTTCCCCCCATTTAAAAAAAAAAAAAAAAAAAAAACACACACACACAACATGGGAGGGGACTAAAGTGCACTACAAGACAAAATAAGAAAAAAATAACACTACATTTAATGTAAAAAAAAAAAAGACTGGAGAAACCCTTTAAGGAAATCGTGTTAACATGGCAGTATTACGTGGTTTAACATGGGTGCTTTGCACTTGGTTTCACAATGTATTGTACGCAGAGGGTTAACTAAGCCTGCAAGGAGCTGTATCTTAATACAATAGGAAGCATAAAAATTAAGAAAACATTTCAATCCTGGCTCACACATAAAAAAAAAAATGACAACTGACCTCAATAAATCTTCCTTTCTTGCTACCTTTCATGCTCTCGGTGATACTACACAGATCCTTCCTGCTTTGCAGTAATAACTTCACAGAGGTCAGCAAAGCGTCACTGATATTCTGTAGAGGAAAATGTAAATGCTGTAAATTGCAAAGTTAAACAAAGACACTATTTCCGTTGTGGCAATCATCAATGCTGTGAACACAGCTGGGACTCTGTTGGGTTTAAGTGCTCATTGCAAACATGAAAGCCTCACACTGCTTTAAGGAACTCTCTTCTGAATGCTACAGAACGATTTCCATAGGATTGCAGAATGGAGAGGTGCTCCATAAAGGAGAGAAATACGTGCATACCTGGAAAGAAGATGGGTGTCACCTGAAGCTAGCTAAAAGAGCAGTATGAAAGTTGTAGTTCTACAAGAGCTGAAGATTTACCTCTCCCCATTGGCCATGTCTAACCTAGAGTGCCTTAGCTTGCATTATACTTTGGGTAGAAGGAGTTTAAAAGGACACTTCTGTCCCTAAGATTTTAGCTTGATGAAGTGTTTTAGGTATCAAATGTAGGATCCCTATATTTCAGAAATTTGAAAAGAAGCAGGCAGCCAGGAGGTTTTCCTGCCTCTAGCTGCAGTCGGCAGTTCATATAGTCAGATGATCAGATAAACATGTAATATTCATCTCATGCAATGCAGAACAGCAGAGTATCTTACTTCTTTCTTCACTGTGAATTTAGGCTTCATTTGGCACCCCTGACTTCTTGTACATGTATCCATGATTGATGTTCAGTTGTAACACAGAGAAAGAAGATGGAAATCTGTAAAGGAAACAATATATGTCAAAATGCAAGCCTTAACTAGTTTAAAGGAACACAAACAACACCATATGCAATACAGCCCACTGTGATGGTTATGGTGACTGGAGTTCCCTGGCACCTTCAAAGAGTAACCTGGCTAACCATCTTAGAAAGATCTGATAACTTCCCTTGGTCATACTTTCATCTGTTGCTGAGAGTGCCAGCTGAGTGATCTCAGCTAATGAGCACAGTCCTGTATCGGACCTGCTTAGCTCATTAAAAGACATCCAGGCTTCTCCTGCCGGAGAACACTATAAGTGGCCAAAGCACCTAACAAGATCAGGTAAGTTGGCACACCATTCTAAAACATTTTGCATTCAGGATAAAATAATCCAGTTTTGTTGTTTGCATTCATATTTCTATTTCTCTTTCCCCCCCACCTCAGTGGCAAACATATTCGTTTCCCTCTTTAGCTTAACCCCTTAAGGACCAAACTTCTGGAATAAAAAAATGGGAATCATGACATGTCACACATGTTATGTGTCCTTAAGGGGTTAAAAGGAACACTGAGCACCAAAACAATGACATCTTAAGGATTGTGCATGCTGCACAAATATGTCTAGTGAAGATAGGTCCTCCTCTAACATATGGAAGAGAAGCGGCATCTGCAGGTAAAAGGTGAGTTGAAGACTGTTGGGGACATGTTCTTTCAAAGAACATTTACTGCATGTGAGTCATTTTAACAAAAAGGTTTTTTAGTTCCAATTAGCAACTTCCTCAGAACAATGTATCCATCTAGGATTTAATACTTATCGGGCAAAGCACCAGAGGACTCCTGGCACCTACTACAATTTTAAGGTCTTGTGTTCAGTGGTGCGGTACACACCTTCCTAATTCCTTCTAGCTCACTATACTTCTCTATAAAATATACATTGCAGTGGTTGGTACAATACTTTATTAGGATTGGGTAGAGAACTAGGATTATTATGATTTAGGCTTAGATTTAGAATTAGGGTTTGGTTTAGGATTAAGATTGTTACTTTGCAATGGTATACATACAGGGTATTGCCTAGTATAGTTACGATCATTTAAGATCACATTATAGGCATTACATTTAGGTTTGTTTTTTTTACTCATGCAAAGAAGACTCATTACGTTTCTGAACTCAAGAACTCCAGGATCAACTCATGTAAATGTTAGACTGCACTACTCTCTATTCCTGTAAATACATATACTGGTAAACATTTGGAATAAAAGATGCAAAGAAAATAAATCACAACATACCAGTCCACAATAGAGACATGTTTTGAGAATACGGCTATCCATAACTCTTTTTCATGATGACAAAACCAGAAACACAAGTTATTAATAGACCACTTCATAGAGATAATATTGGAACACAAATACCATCCCAGCAGAGCAATTAAAATGCCACTAGAGACTGATGCTTATAAAGTAGTCTTCAAGTAAGTCACCACAGCACAAATGGAATATTAAGCAGGAGTGTTACACTGTTGCTACGAGGTCTCTCAGTAACATTTTCAGAGAAAAAGGTGAAGAGATGCCCAAAACATTCAACAATTGTCTCAGAATGCCAGACATATATGCAAGTAACCATAGACAGCTTCTTACTTTTCAGATTTCAATCAACATTTCTGTGGGGTCGTTTCACAGTGCCTGTTTTTTTTAAAAAAAACAAGGGTTTATTAAAACTTAAGAGAAAGTTTGTGTCAAAGGATGTGCTTACAAACCGCAAATGTAAGCCAAGAGAATTTATAATAATGCCTCATAATCCAATGACATATAGTATTGATGCTGGATTGGCCTACTTTACAGCAGTCATATGCCTGCTATGTTTAGATCTATGGCAATTAATTCCATAATCACGAGAGTGAGAATAGAGAGAGTTGGTCTTTATAGTCTCGTGGAATCCTCCACAGACCCCAGTGTTCTCTCATTGCGTGACACAGCCCCTGGCAGATGAAGCGCCAGGAGCTGAATACAGAATATGGTGGCACATGCCACGGACAGTTACAGGTAAGTATATCTCCCCGTGCACTCCAAGTAGGACAATATGCAAACTCCCTAAAAGTAACATTGCATACATACCTAAAAGAATACTACAGCATTACGAATACAAGCAAGCATTAAGAATACCTATTCAGGGTTCTCCCAGTAAGGCTTTGAAAGGTAAGTTTTACTTACAGCACTCACCATGGCAATCCCCAACCTGTCACTATGCCTCCTTGGTTGAGATCATGAAGATTGACTCAGCCCATCCAATGTACCCCATAGGAACACTGTAAGGCTAGTGCGCTCGCAAGGCAAAACGCTGCACTGCGACAATAAAATGCTGTTCTATGAGCATCATTTGATTGAGAATCCAGTCTGACTGTTCTCAACATGGAGGTGCCTATAGTGGCTGTCTGCAAGACCGTCACTAGAAGCGTGTTAACTCTGCAATGGAATCATTGCAGTTTCTGTACAGTGTTTTACATTGTAACTTTAAAACTATAGGGCTACTGCACCTTGACCACTTAATTGAGATGAAGTGGCCTGGGTTCCTTTAGTTGTCCTTTAACCCCTTAGGGACCAAACTTCTGGAATAAAGGGGAATCATGACATGTCACACATGTCATGTGTCCTTAAGGGGTTAAAAGGGTTATTCCAATCAACATGACCACTTAAGCTTTTTAAAGTGGTCACGGAGGTAGGACTCTGTATGTGCAGTGGTACACCCCAGCACACGTGACTTTGGCAGACCGGAAGTCTGTTCTGGACTTCCAAATGTGAATTCTGGCGACCGATGTTAAGATTTCAAGTTTTCTCCCTTCCCTTCCTGTGTGTGCCAACTCTGGCCTCCCTCTGTTGCCAAAATATGCTTACACATCCAGTGCAACTAATTAAACATTAGTTGCACTGGATGTTTAAAAATGATTATAAGAAAAAATGTTTTGAGAATAATATATATATATATATATTTATTTTATTTCCCCCCACATGTAATGTTGTGTTAGGTATTCATAAAATGATGTTAAATAAAAGCCCTTTCCATCCTTTAAAATATTTTATATAATATGCATTAGAGCACTTAAAAAAAAACTCTTAAATTACAGTGGAACAAACCTATATTTCAAATTCAAGGTCTTGTTAATGGGTTAAAAAAAGACAATTGTTCATGTTATCGGTTATTTAGCTTTCAGCTCATGGTTTACCCTCATAGCTTAAAGGACCACTATAGGCACCAAGACCACTTCAGCTCAATGAAGTGGTCTGGATGCCAGGTCACCCTGGTTTTAACCCTGCAGCTGTATTCATTGAGGGTTAATCCAGCCTCTAGTGGCTGTCTACCTGACAACCACTAGAGGCCGCTTCCACGATTCTCAGTGTGTGAAAAAAAATGTTAAAAAAATAAATATCACACCGAGATGACGCTAACGTCCATAGGAAAGCATTGAGTAATGCTTTCCGATGGGCGTTTTTAATGTGTGCGAGGCTGTTGCCGCGCCTGCGCATTCAGCATGGACGTCGGCAGAGGGAGGAGAAGTCACCAGTGACGAGGGAGCCCGGCACTGGATTAAGGTAAGTGGCTGGAGCGGGAGGGGGACCTAATTATCCTATAGTGCCAGGAAAATGAGTTTGTTTTCCTGGCACTATAGTGGTCCTTTAACTTCTATCAGACACTCCTACTCTGTCCATTGAGACATGTAATGAAGAAATATCTGAGATGTGATCTGCACTTTGAAAACTGCCATATAAAATCTACTGGAGTATCCTGAGAGGCTGATCATTTCCTTATCTTGGCTATTCTAACTGCAAGGAATGCAATGCCTTGAGATTTATTGCAAATTCAGCAATTTCTTTTTTTATTTATTACAAAGTTTCATTACTTTACTTTTAATTATACTGTCAGCCAGTTTGGCCAGCCTCTTTAGGAATGGGCCTGTCCCTTTTGACATGCCGTTCCCCCCACACACTTGCTCGCTTCCATGCCCACCATGTTTATATTTGTGCACTATGCTAATGCAATGCATTTTAGGAGATGCCTGTCAAATCAAGCAAAAAAAAAAACTACTGTAACCAGCAAATAAATGTACAGTAGTACCTCGATTTACGAATTTAATGAATTCTCCGGGACGCTTCTTATTGCAAAAAGTTTGTAAACCGAAACGCGGTTTCCCATAGGAATGCATTGAAAACCAATTAATCCGTTGGACGTCAGAAAAAAGTCAAAATGAGCTGGCATGGAAACCAACCCAAAATGCAGAACACACAGTAAAAGGCATGCAAACGACGATGCTCAGCTCCCTACCTTTCCACCGCTTGAGAAATGCACCAAAAAAAGTTCCAAAAAGTCCCAAAACCGCTGCAAAAAATTCCAGAATGGCACCAAAACTCGATGCAAAAACCGCTCCAACACCTCCAAACTCTACGCCACAAGCTACCCACAGACTCCAGCATGCACGGGGGCGGCGCTGTAAACCTCCCTGGTGCAATGCATCCTGGGGAAACTTGCTTTGTATTGCGAATGAAATTTGTAAACCAAGGCATTATTTTCAATGGATTTTTATTTGTAAAGCGAAAATTATGTTAACCGAGGCGTTTGTAAACCAAGGTACCACTGTATTCCCTCTCAGGGAGAAGTGAGAGATCTCAAATCCAATTCTGTTCAGCGCATGTTATCCAGAATACTTTGACACCTTTCTAATAGAACTGTTTTTTTCTGTGACTGGCAACCTGTTCAAAATTGTTTCTATTCACTGGCTTGAGAGTGCTCAAACATTTATTTTCCTCAATGAATAATAAACAGTTTGCAGACATGCATTGGGTTCAAATAGAAATTAATAAGCAATGCATCACAGAAATGCTTACCAATGATCCTACGGAAGCCATAGGATATTAGCGAGTGTCTGGGAGAGCTTGTTAAAATGGGGAAATCAGAAAACTTATTTTTCTTTATGGGGGAACAAGTCAGAATCTTGGAGCATTTTTTCCCCTCAATATTTGGACAGATATGTGTTCTACTACACCCTCGGTTATGATATTAAGTAGTATGAAATATGATAAGGCACTGCATAATAATTTGGAGGGGAAAAAAAGAGAAAGAAACCACGCAGAAAATTTATGTACAAAACTTGATACGTACACAGGTCTCTTAAGGTTATATACACATTTGACCTCAAAAAGAACAGAAGGGGGCGTGGTCTGACCGTCGATGGGACTAGACGTGTCTCACTAGAGCTCCCGACGAAACGCGCCCTAAAAGCCAACAAAAGCGACCTAATTGACCACTACTTCATCCAGTGAGCCCCCCCATAATGGAGAAAAGGCTTCCCAAAAAACAACAGAAGAGGGATACTGACCCCGGCAGCACCGTCCTAGATCTTATGTCGGCACAGAAACAAGGCCGCTTGGGGACCCAAGATGGCGCCGGCACTACTACCCCACAGGCTTCGCCCCGTGCTGAACGAGAATCATCCCCTGAGGACCGAGACACGGTCCTGGCAAAGCTGGCCGAAATGAGGACCTTCCTCGCTGGGGAAATAGCCAAATCCACAGCAGTACTCCAGGCCGAGATCGGGGCCCTGGGAGAGCGCACCGCTAAACTCGAGGACCGCATGGAGGCCTCCGTGCAGGCCCACAATGCAGTGGTGGAGAGGGCAAACAATCTCACAGCTCAAATGGTAAATATGGATCTTGCCTTTGAAGACCTGGCTAACCGGTCCAGGAGAAACAATATTCGCCTGAGAGGCCTGCCTGAAAATCCGGACGAGGACCTACAGGGGCTTATACTCACCATCCTGAAGCCTCTGCTCCCGCATATACCAGAAGAACACTGGCACATGGAGAGGGCGCACAGGGCCTTACGGGGCCAGAGGAACGACACCAATACACCGCGGGATGTAATAATCCGTTTCCTATACCATCGCACTAAGGAAGCACTAATGAAGAAGAGCCGTGAGACCCCCATTCGGCACTCCGGTAAGGTCATCTCCCTTTACCACGACCTAGCCCCCTCCACGCTACAACGGAGGAGAGAATGGCGCCCCATCACTGAAGCCCTAAGAAAAGCCGGTATCAAATACGCCTGGGGTTTCCCCTTTAAGTTGATGGTGTTCAAAGGGGACCGGGCACACGTTCTCACACCGGGAGGAGACCCCCACCGAATGCTCAGTGGCCTTGGCGTACAACCGCCTCCTGACCTCCCCAGCGTGGCGATGCAACCGGAGGATCTTCCACAGCTACACTCGGAGTGGCGGGGATCGGAACCGAGAAGACGCTGTTAACTGCTGTCGGTAACGTACTGTCTAGCCCGGGGGCCCCTCTCGTGTTCTCGACCTGGCAGATGCGGGACCTTGGGGGGGGTAGGAGATGTGTCCTCCCGTGGAGTTGGGGTGGGGGATGAGGTGGGGGCTACGCTATAGTTTTGGGACCCTGGTTATTTTTGACTTGAATCCCTCATAGTTATCTCTAAGGCTTATGGCACGGGGGGGTACTCCCCCCCCCGTATATGTGATCGGAGAGGGATAGCCGCTCTGCCCCACCGACAATCAGCTGGAATTCAAAAGATCAACTTGGGGTTCACTTTTATTGGATTGGGAGGGGGAAAGGGTGGTGCAATTGACGGATCCCCCTATCGAGACATCTGTGCATAGCGACTGGTACCTCTCCCTCAGCGAAGATCTTCCGAGGAGTAAGGACTCTGGAGAACCCCCTCAGGCCCGTTTAAATTTTAACTGTTGGGTATTGCCTTAAAAAGGGACCGCTGCAGCTGTTCCCCCCTAAGAGGCGCCTTTTTTACATGGCTGCAGCTTGGGAGGGCTCCCTAGAGCCCCCTTGGCCCCCCTCCCCCCTTATCCAACCGCCGCACCGTGGTATCGGCGGCGCCAGGCAATGGGCGGGTTGCGCCCTCGGGGGGAATAGAGACGGACCCCAATAGCTGGTCACGAAAAAGAAAAAAAAAAATGACCAAGACAACCGATATTATCAAAAATCAGCTCCTTTACGAAGGAGAAGCGACCGAGCGACAAACAATTTACAATTTACACTAGGATGTACCGGGGAAAGCTACCCACAGTAGAGTATGGGAGAGGGAGGTTCACTATGCCCGACACCTTGTCTCCTGGTTACAAAAGGGGGCAAATCAATAGCAGGACAGGAGGACGTTTGAAAGGCAGGGAGAACTGACCGAAAACGACACATCCCTATGACTAGAGACATCCAGTCGCCCCCAACTAACTGGTGACAGTGACCGCTACACAACCACCACATAACAGGACCATAGGGACGTAGGGGGAAGACTAGCGTAAGCACAGGTAAATAGAACACGGGACAACAAACACAAGACCTTTCGTAAAACAGTTATTACAAAAAAAAAAAAAAAAAGACAGCACCCATTGACTACGTCCCCAACCACGACGTATAACGTGCAAGGCCCAGAGTCTATCGCTTTAAGTCGTAAACCCCCCCCCCGACCGAAGCTGGGACACTAAATAGTCGGGACCCATGGGGGGGATGGGAGACCTGGGTCAGGACAGGTTACGGGTACCCTTACTGTGTTCTTGAAGAAGGTGTATTTCAGCACGAAAGTCATTATATGGTATTTTAATTGTATTTTAAGTGTATTTTGAGGAACGACTCTGGCCTTCCAGAAGGCCTGGGAACCGTGGGACAACAGTGCCATAGGCTCGGAACACGACTGAGGTGCCAAGGGGGCGGTCCGATTCAGGACCAGACACTGCTAGGTCGGTGATGGAATAAAAACCTCAACCTCGTCCGCCTCCCCCCCCCTTCCTCCCCCCTCCCACCCTTCACATTCACATCCTTCTTGATCTCTATACCCCTCTTTCTCACTTCATCTTACTCTCTACGTCTATACCTGTATCTTTCACATTCTCTAACTTTAGGTACCGAAACCTTAGCCTACAAGGATACCCACTATCTCTATATTTCTCTCTTACTTCTAAACTTCTCTATGGCTGACATTGTCCCACCACATGGAGACATAACTAACTTCCCTCATCTAGACATGAGCGCGCTAAAGGAGGATGGAGGATGTCTAAAGTACACCCAGACAGGGCTGGAGTTGAGGCTCATCCTTAGTGGGCAGGACCAGACTTAAGGACACATTACCACCGACAATGGGCTAATAGAATAGCATCCACTGAGAGACCTGTCTTAGGACCCATGGCCCCAATCCAACTCTCCAAGATAGAACACTAACATACAGGCTCCTGCGCGGGCCTTACAGCAGCACTGCTCACACTCTATATATGATATGAAAATTGAGAAGTTAACTGTAACAGCCAATAAACACATAAAATCCCCGACGGGGGGCAAGCTATAAAGAAAATGTAAAGAGGCGGGCCACAGAGGCCAATGTTAACATTGATGTCTATATATATGTTTTTATTATAATGCGGCTTCTGCGCAAGCCTTTTATGGATATGTTCTTGCCTATCGGGCACAAAAATAAAAAAAAAAAAAAGAACAGAAGAAACAATAATAGTGCAGTACAGTATGTACAAAGATTGAGTGATGTGTGATCTTATGTAATTTCACTCACATCTGATTGAGCTATATCAGAGCTTGGCTGTTTCAGCGATGGACGGAACAATCCCCGTCTGAGGATATGTGATTATGTGGGCGTCTCAGATGGCTCAAATGGAGTGCAGTATGCATTACATGTATAGGAGTAAATACAAAAAAGGATGCTCCAGTGGTTAAGTAAGTATTCGTGAATATAGAGAAATAAATAAAATATTGTACTCACATTTACCAGAGCAAAACTTGCTCTGGTATTTACAGCGTTGGTGGTATAATCCCCACCTGTCACACCTTTACCGGGCATGCGAAACAGCAGCACAAGCACAGAACTTCCTGCAACCATGCAGTATTTTATCTTTTACTGCATGATAATTAGCAACATTGAAAGGACACCAATCACAAAAACCACATGTTAATCTGCAAAGATCCTGTCCCTGTGGTCTGACAAATGTAAACATTGCAGTTGCTCATAAATGGCAATGCTTACATCTGTCACCAAGAACGCCTCTAGTGGTTGTCTAAGACTTTCAATAAAGGAATGTCTTTACATCCAGTATTGCAATGTTTTACAAAGAGAATCAATGCTTCTCTATGTGAAAAATCTGAATGGCTGCTCCTGGCAATTGCCACACATGCCTAGTAGGTCCCCAATATTTCTCTATAATGTTGCTTGTGATTTCACATACTTACACTCAAAAACTGTAAATAACTTTGGAAAGTGCACTACCAACTTTTGAGCTTCCTTCTAAATTAGTGGACATGAATATATATAAATGTCAGAGAGAGAGAGAGTATAGATGGATAGATAGATGTCCATTTGACACACTGCAAAAAAAAAAAAAAACATGCTGTGCACTTGTGCAGTTCAGAGTCGAACTGTTTTCAGAAGCTCTGACACTTACCCCCCAGGCCCATGCCCTCTTCACAGACATTGCTAAAGAGAAGTTCCTTTTCCGCAATAGCAGTATCAACTTTGTCCAACTCTGGAGAGCTCTGACTGTGGAGTGTCACTGCTAATGAAACCATTCAAAAATGGATGAAATTGATATTGCTAGAGAGCAACAGATCTCTGAAGAGGGGATTGTCTTTGGGAGACCAGAGGACCTAGATAAGAGTCAAACCAATTAAAAACAGTTGTAATTTTAATATTTGGAGAGTACAGAATTCAAGCTGAGGACATGTGGACAGATTACTGGACGTGTTGATAACATGCACTACTGACTAAAGTACTGGCCTAAAAAAATGGATATTTAAACCAAGAAGCATAAATGGGACAGATTATGCCTATTAAATTGGCTGCTCTTATGAACTTGTATCTAATTATCCCACTGTTCCTATTTGCTAATATGATGGGGATCCATTAATTACAAGCAACGTATATAACAGTTTAAGCTAATTTCATGGACACATCGCAGCTGCAAGACTCTATGGAAAGACCTCAATAAGATGATACATACTACAAAAAAATGCAAACTTTAAAGATTCATCCCTTGGGGTGTAACATGACCCAGGTGTATATATTGGGAAATCACTCCAGGACTGTTTTGACCTGAATGTGAATTTTATCAGGGTTATTTACTAAAATGAGAATTGAGGAGAGTGAATTTCAAATTAAAAGTAGCAGAACTAGAAGCATTACTGACTTGGAATATTTTTCCATTTCAGCTACTTTTGTTTTACACGTGAAATTAACTTGGAATTCCCCTTGCATCTTCAACAATTTTCCCTTTAGTAAATAATCATGCAAATGTCAAGTTGCTTTTCAGCAAAAATAGCTCTCCTACTACTGTGAGACATAAGAGAAACCATGGCGTGAGCAATGATTGGAGTCTTAAATAGGCCAATCATGTGGCATGCTACATTACGGAAATCGCTGGCGCTATATAAACAAACTAAAATAATAATTACAAACATGAAAAAGGCAGTGACAAATTGTATGTGTACTCAAGCTTCCCAGTTGAACACAATATGTAAACAGTGAATCATACACATATATGGCGATTGGAAGATTAGGACAATTGCAGTCTAAAGCCATCTACAGCCTATTCTGTGACGAGGAACTGTCATTGAAAGCATTAATGAGCTAGGGTTTTTTTCCCCCCTTTTGTTAAATCAACCCTCAAAACACTGTCAAGCTACCTAGCTGCAATTCATAAAACATACCTAGCACATTACATCATATATTAATCCAAACTAGATAATTGGATAGGCAGAACTACAACTCCCATGATGTTTTGGCAAAACTCAATTCTGGCAAAGGATCATAGGAGTTGCAGTTCTGTGACAGCTGAGGTCTGCTTTCTGTCACATCTGGATTAACCCCATCCAATAACAAGACTGACAGACTACACTAGCAGATGTAGGCAGCCTTTGGCACTCCAGATGCTGTGGACTCCATCTCCCATAATGCTTGCAAAACCGCAGGGGGGATGTAATCCACAACATCTGGAGTGCCAAAGGCTGCCAACCCCTGACACAGCCTGGCAGAAACAGGAATTCTCCATCTATCATGCTATACATGGCCCTGCAGGAGGCTGCCTACCCCTGGCACAGCCTGGCACACACTGCTGGCAGGTACAGGGATTCTCCATCTATCCTGCTATACATGGCCCTGCAGGAGGCTGCCTACCCCTGGCATAGCCTGGCAGACACTGCTAGCAGGTACAGGGATTCTCCATCTATCATGCTATACATGGCCCTGCAGTAGGCTGCCAACCCCTGGCACACACTGCTAGCAGGTACAGGGATTCTCCGTCTATCATTCTATACATGGCCCTGCAGGAGGCTGCCTACCCCTGGCACAGCCTGGCACACACTGCTAGCAGGTACAGGGATTCTCCATCTATCATTCTATACATGGCCCTGCAGGAGGCTGCCTACCCCTGGCACAGTCTGGCACACACTGCTAGCAGGTACAGGGATTCTCCATCTATCATGCTATACATGGCCCTGCAGGAGGCTGCCTACCCCTGGCACAGCCTGGCACACACTTCTAGCAGGTACAAGGATTCTCCATCTATCATGCTATACATGGCCCTGCAGGAGGCTGCCTAACCCTGGCACACACTGCTGGCAGGTACAGGGATTCTCCATCTATCATGCTATACATAGCCCTGCAGGAGGCTGCCTACCCCTTGCACAGCCTGGCACACACTGCTGGCAGGTACAGGGATTCTCCATCTATCATGCTATACATGCCCCTGCAGGAGGCTGCCTACTCCTGGCACAGCCTGGCACACACTGCTGGCAGGTACAGGGATTCTCCATCTATCATGCTATACATGGCCCTGCAGGAGGCTGCCTACACCTGGCACACACTGCTAGCAGGTACAGGGATTCTCCATCTATCATACTATACATGGCCCTGCAGGAGGCTGCCTACCCCTGGCACAGCCTGGCACACACTGCTAGCAGGTACAGGGATTCTCCATCTATCATGCTATACATGGCCCTGCAGGAGGCTGCCTACCCCTGGCACAGCCTGGCACACACTGCTGGCAGGTACAGGGATTCTCCATCCATAATGCTATACATGGCCCTGTAGGAGGCTGCCTACCCCTGGCACAGCCTGGCACACACTGCTGGCAGGTACAGGGATTCTCCATCTATCATGCTATACATGGCCCTGCAGGAGGCTGCCTACCCCTGGCACAGCCTGGCACACACTGCTAGCAGGTACAAGGATTATCCATCTATCATTCTATACATGGCCCTGCAGGAGGCTGCCTACCCCTGGCACAGCCTGGCACACACTTCTAGCAGGTACAAGGATTCTCCATCTATCATGCTATACATGGCCCTGCAGGAGGCTGCCTAACCCTGGCACACACTGCTGGCAGGTACAGGGATTCTCCATCTATCATGCTATACATGGCCCTGCAGGAGGCTGCCTACCCCTTGCACAGCCTGGCACACACTGCTGGCAGGTACAGGGATTCTCCATCTATCATGCTATACATGCCCCTGCAGGAGGCTGCCTACTCCTGGCACAGCCTGGCACACACTGCTGGCAGGTACAGGGATTCTCCATCTATCATGCTATACATGGCCCTGCAGGAGGCTGCCTACACCTGGCACACACTGCTAGCAGGTACAGGGATTCTCCATCTATCATACTATACATGGCCCTGCAGGAGGCTGCCTACCCCTGGCACAGCCTGGCACACACTGCTAGCAGGTACAGGGATTCTCCATCTATCATGCTATACATGGCCCTGCAGGAGGCTGCCTACCCCTGGCACAGCCTGGCACACACTGCTGGCAGGTACAGGGATTCTCCGTCTATCATTCTATACATGGCCCTGCAGGAGGCTGCCTACCCCTGGCACAGCCTGGCACACACTGCTAGCAGGTACAGGGATTCTCCATCTATCATTCTATACATGGCCCTGCAGGAGGCTGCCTACCCCTGGCACAGTCTGGCACACACTGCTAGCAGGTACAGGGATTCTCCATCTATCATGCTATACATGGCCCTGCAGGAGGCTGCCTACCCCTGGCACAGCCTGGCACACACTTCTAGCAGGTACAAGGATTCTCCATCTATCATGCTATACATGGCCCTGCAGGAGGCTGCCTAACCCTGGCACACACTGCTGGCAGGTACAGGGATTCTCCATCTATCATGCTATACATAGCCCTGCAGGAGGCTGCCTACCCCTTGCACAGCCTGGCACACACTGCTGGCAGGTACAGGGATTCTCCATCTATCATGCTATACATGCCCCTGCAGGAGGCTGCCTACTCCTGGCACAGCCTGGCACACACTGCTGGCAGGTACAGGGATTCTCCATCTATCATGCTATACATGGCCCTGCAGGAGGCTGCCTACACCTGGCACACACTGCTAGCAGGTACAGGGATTCTCCATCTATCATACTATACATGGCCCTGCAGGAGGCTGCCTACCCCTGGCACAGCCTGGCACACACTGCTAGCAGGTACAGGGATTCTCCATCTATCATGCTATACATGGCCCTGCAGGAGGCTGCCTACCCCTGGCACAGCCTGGCACACACTGCTGGCAGGTACAGGGATTCTCCATCCATAATGCTACACATGGCCCTGTAGGAGGCTGCCTACCCCTGGCACAGCCTGGCACACACTGCTGGCAGGTACAGGGATTCTCCATCTATCATGCTATACATGGCCCTGCAGGAGGCTGCCTACCCCTGGCACAGCCTGGCACACACTGCTAGCAGGTACAAGGATTATCCATCTATCATTCTATACATGGCCCTGCAGGAGGCTGCCTACCCCTGGCACAGCCTGGCACACACTTCTAGCAGGTACAAGGATTCTCCATCTATCATGCTATACATGGCCCTGCAGGAGGCTGCCTAACCCTGGCACACACTGCTGGCAGGTACAGGGATTCTCCATCTATCATGCTATACATAGCCCTGCAGGAGGCTGCCTACCCCTTGCACAGCCTGGCACACACTGCTGGCAGGTACAGGGATTCTCCATCTATCATGCTATACATGGCCCTGCAGGAGGCTGCCTACTCCTGGCACAGCCTGGCACACACTGCTGGCAGGTACAGGGATTCTCCATCTATCATGCTATACATGGCCCTGCAGGAGGCTGCCTACACCTGGCACACACTGCTAGCAGGTACAGGGATTCTCCATCTATCATACTATACATGGCCCTGCAGGAGGCTGCCTACCCCTGGCACAGCCTGGCACACACTGCTAGCAGGTACAGGGATTCTCCATCTATCATGCTATACATGGCCCTGCAGGAGGCTGCCTACCCCTGGCACAGCCTGGCACACACTGCTGGCAGGTACAGGGATTCTCCATCCATAATGCTACACATGGCCCTGTAGGAGGCTGCCTACCCCTGGCACAGCCTGGCACACACTGCTGGCAGGTACAGGGATTCTCCATCTATCATGCTATACATGGCCCTGCAGGAGGCTGCCTACCCCTGGCACAGCCTGGCACACACTGCTAGCAGGTACAAGGATTATCCATCTATCATTCTATACATGGCCCTGCAGGAGGCTGCCTACCCCTGGCACAGCCTGGCACACACTGCTGGCAGGTACAGGGATTCTCCATCTATCATGCTATACATGGTCCTGCAGGAGGCTGCTACCCCTGGCAGAGCCTGGCACACACTGCTGGCAGGTACAGGGATTCTCCATCTATCCTGCTATACATGGCCCTGCAGGAGGCTGCCTACCCCTGGCACACACTGGCACAGCCTGGCACACACTGCTGGCAGGTACAGGGTTTCTCCATCTATCATGCTATACATGGCCCTGAAAGAGGCTGCCTACCCCTGGCACAGCCTGGCACACACTGCTGGCAGGTACAGGGATTCTCCATCTATCATGCTATACATGGCCCTGCAGGAGGCTGCCTACCCCTGGCACAGCCTGGCAGGCACTGCTAGCAGGTACAGGGATTCTCCATCTATCATTCTATACATGGCCCTGCAGGAGGCTGCCTTCCTGGCATAGCCTGGCAGACACTGCTAGCAGGTACAGGGATTCTCCATCTATCATGCTATACATGGCCCTGCAGGAGGCTGCCTACCCCTGGCACAGCCTGGCAGGCACTGCTGGCAGGTACAGGGATTCTCCATCTATCATTCTATACATGGCCCTGCAGGAGGCTGCCTTCCTGGCATAGCCTGGCAGACACTGCTAGCAGGTACAGGGATTCTCCATCTATCATTCTATACATGGCCCTGCAGGAGGCTGCCTACCCCTGGCACAGCCTGGCACACACTGCTAGCAGGTACAGGGATTCTCCATCTATCATGCTATACATGGCCCTGCAGGAGGCTGCCTACCCCTGGCACAGCCTGGCAGGCACTGCTGGCAGGTACAGGGATTCTCCATCTATCATGCTATACATGGCCCTGCAGGAGGCTGCCTACCCCTGGCACAGCCTGGCAGGCACTGCTAGCAGGTACAGGGATTCTCCATCTATCATGCTATACATGGCCCTGCAGGAGGCTGCCTACCCCTGGCACACACTGCTGGCAGGTACAGTGATTCTCCATCTATCATGCTATACATGGCCCTGCAGGAGGCTGCCTACCCCTGGCACAGCCTGGCAGGCACTGCTAGCAGGTACAGGGATTCTCCATCTATCATGCTATACATGGCCCTGCAGGAGGCTGCCTACCCCTGGCACAGCCTGGCAGGCACTGCTGGCAGGTACAGGGTTTCTCCATCTATCATGCTATACATGGCCCTGCAGGAGGCTGCCTACCCCTGGCACAGCCTGGCAGGCACTGCTGGCAGGTACAGGGATTCTCCATCTATCATTCTATACATGGCCCTGCAGGAGGCTGCCTACCCCTGGCACACACTGCTGGCAGGTACAGGGTTTCTCCATCTATCATGCTATACATGGCCCTGCAGGAGGCTGCCTACCCCTGGCACAGCCTGGCAGGCACTGCTGGCAGGTACAGGGATTCTCCATCTATCATGCTACATGGCCCTGCAGGAGGCTGCCTACCCCTGGCACACACTGGCACACACTGCTGGCAGGTACGGGGATTCTCCATCTATCATGCTATACATGGCCCTGCAGGAGGCTGCCTACCCCTGGCACACACTGCTGGCAGGTACAGGGTTTCTCCATCTATCATGCTATACATGGCCCTGCAGGAGGCTGCCTACCCCTGGCACAGCCTGGCAGGCACTGCTGGCAGGTACAGGGATTCTCCATCTATCATGCTATACATGGCCCTGCAGGAGGCTGCCTACCCCTGGCACAGCCTGGCAGGCACTGCTAGCAGGTACAGGGATTCTCCATCTATCATGCTATACATGGCCCTGCAGGAGGCTGCCTACCCCTGGCACAGCCTGGCAGGCACTGCTGGCAGGTACAGGGATTCTCCATCTATCATGCTATACATGGCCCTGCAGGAGGCTGCCTACCCCTGGCACAGCCTGGCAGGCACTGCTAGCAGGTACAGGGAATCTCCATCTATCATGCTATACATGGCCCTGCAGGAGGCTGCCTACCCCTGGCACAGCCTGGCAGGCACTGCTGGCAGGTACAGGGATTCTCCATCTATCATGCTATACATGGCCCTGCAGGAGGCTGCCTACCCCTGGCACAGCCTGGCAGGCACTGCTGGCAGGTACAGGGATTCTCCATCTATCATGCTATACATGGCCCTGCAGGAGGCTGCCTACCCCTGGCACAGCCTGGCAGGCACTGCTAGCAGGTACAGGGATTCTCCATCTATCATGCTATACATGGCCCTGCAGGAGGCTGCCTACCCCTGGCACAGCCTGGCAGGCACTGCTGGCAGGTACAGGGATTCTCCATCTATCATGCTATACATGGCCCTGCAGGAGGCTGCCTACCCCTGGCACAGCCTGGCAGGCACTGCTAGCAGGTACAGGGAATCTCCATCTATCATGCTATACATGGCCCTGCAGGAGGCTGCCTACCCCTGGCACAGCCTGGCAGGCACTGCTGGCAGGTACAGGGATTCTCCATCTATCATGCTATACATGGCCCTGCAGGAGGCTGACTGGGCGGTGACAGGCGGCGGGCTGCTGTGAGCGCTATTACAGGTGATCATTACCGGGGGCTCCTCCAGCCAGGCTCAGGGCCCCCGCCCCCCCGGCACAGCTTCCCAGATGCTGCTTCACGGTTCCGGTGTGGACATCCAGAGCGCCTTGTTCCTGCCGGGAGGTGCGGGCTGGGGGCGGCTCAGGGAGCGGGCAGCGGGGGCATGCTGAGCGGAGCCCGGAGTCCGAGCCAGGGGAGGCTGTGCTGCGCAGCTGATGAGCTGTTGTGGTTCTTGCGATTGACGTCAGTGGGGTTACGTCATCGCTGTGCGCGCGGGCCGCGTCGCCTTGGCTGGCAGATCACACGCTGGTTGGCAGGAGCCCCATTCCCACTCAGCGCCCACCGGGCTGGCTCTGCAGGAAGCATCGCTCGGTGGGACACTGTAAGGAATGCATTGGGGTTCACGCTTTAAGGTCAATACGGAGTTATGAACCGAATCGAAAGCCTAGTATTAACGCTTGTGTTTGTTTCACCGTCATTTAAACACACCCATACATATTATATATCGGTTTGGGGTTTTAAAACGTATACAGAGCTTTCTTTTAACATTCTCAGACAATATTAAACAAGAATTTAATGTTGAGAAATTAAGGGGGGGGAAAAAACAAAACAACAACCCACATGTCTGCTTATAGTTATTTTTACACCTCTAGTGCAACTAAAGAGAAATAACTAAATCCTAAATGTATGCTTACACTAACCTTAACCCTTACACAGCATCAACCTTACCCTAACACAAATCCTAAGAAACTCCCTCTGCTGATATCAGTTCTATTAGCAGAGGGATTTCCAAGCTAAATGTAGTAAGTTGAGAGTGGTCTGTGACTGCCATCTACTGGCTGTTTGCAGCATGGCAGATCTCCCTGTAATGCTGAAGCTCCAGCATGCTGTCTTTGCAGAGCACACTGTGATCGGTGCTTAGCCTTTGGCAAAGCCTGTCAATGATCACAGTCGGCAAGTGGGCATGCAGAGAGACCCTGTGAGCATTTTCAGACCCTGTGAGTCTCCGTCACACAGTGTGGAGCCTTAGAATCACCGCGACTGAGCTTGATCATTCAGGGATTTAAAAAGAATTAAATGGCAGGCTGCTTTCTCTCTGGACAAGTTAAAAAGAGCTAGGCGTGAGAGCCGCAAGGGCCTTTGTAAAGGCAGTACCGAAAGAGGCAAAGGCAGAGGGGATAATGCCCGCCAGGAAGGAAAGAACTGCAGCCAGTAAAATTGCCGGTCATCTAGGGATCAATCAGGGATCAGGGATCAATCAGTCATCAGGGATCAATCAAACATACTTCCTGATTGCAACAGAATATTGGTGGCCTTCCTTACGGAAATATACAAATTAATATGTGTTGGCATGTGACGTGTGTTCTAAAACTAAATTACTCCACACTCTTCCTTGTGGTCTGTTACAACCCTTGGACATACCAAAAAAGCTGTGGGTTAGTATAGCTATAGATTTTATTGTGGATTTACTAATTTCCGATATGAAAACTGTTATGCCACAGATTGTAGACTATTTTGTTTTTTTTTTATTAATGGCTTCTTTTATCCCTTTGAAAATGTTGCCTTTTTCACCAGAATTGACTGATATATTTGCCAAAGAAGTCTTTAGATTACATAGCATACCTATGGAAATCATATCAGACAGAGCAGTGCAATATGTTTGTTAGACAAGATGGAGGAACACAACTGCAGAATTAATAGGTAGTACTATACCTTTAAGAAAAGCAAAAATAATTTACTGGGGATTCCTTGAGATATTTTATTTATCTTTAGTGAATTTAAGTTGAAGACAAATATAATTACTTAATTGCAGTTTGGCATGTAGCAAGAAAAAGACTTTGCCTTAATGTTCTGGTTGCAACAAATGTAGAATGTAAAATAAAAAGTAACAATGTCCTTAATTATGTGAAGTAGGAGTTAGAATGCAGCATAGAAATTAGTTTTTAATAGATTGTAGAAATGTAACAATTCTTTAAGTAGTAGCAGAAGTTCTTAATAACTTGATTAGTAGTTGATAAGTGGCACATATAATTTGATTAGACTTATATGCATAGTTGCAGCAATAATTAGAATTGATAAGTGGCACATAGAATTTGATGAGACGTATATGCAGAATTGCAGCAATAAGTAAATTGAAAGATAATATTTAGTGATACTTATAGTTTTCCATGAAACTCCTGAGGATGAAGTTATTAGTAGATTTTGAAGGGATTAATATATATCCAGGTATTTTAGTAGTAACAATCCAGTTTGTTTGAGAGTTAATTAATTCAGGAGTCCGTCCTGGTCTGGTAGTCGATGATGACAGTGTGGTTTAGTATTCCAAAATAAGTTAGAGGTACTTCAGCGTGGAGTCTGAAGTTGCAGCATTCAAACTAGCAAGAGGTAGCTCAGAGTGGAGTCCGAGGTTAGGACAGAATCACCCAGCAATTTTGAGTTTGACGCGGCTTACCTATAAGGCAGGTGAGTGGAGTGTCATATGGATGGGAGGAGCTTACTTTCGAACGCGGAAGTAACCTCGGGGGAACGGAGTCACGGTAAGTTAGGACAATGTTTCATGTTTCCGGAGGGCTTTATGTTCACTGATGGGTATCAAACTTATCATCCCCTATCTAAAGTTGGAACAATACTTAAGGTATTGGGTTGACCTGGTTCACTGGGCTCAATTTGCTTATAATAACGTGGTTTGTGATGGCACCTGCTACAGTCCTTTTTTTTTCATTAATCAAATTCTTAATTTTAATCCACTTGTTCTACCATCTATATTTCCTTCACAGGTCATGCAAATGGTAGATGAACATGTTGAAACCTTGAAGAAAATCTGAGAACGAGCGCAACGCATCCTGTCTCATAATTCTGATTTGTACAAGAAACATGCTGACAACGTAGATGTGCTGCTCCTGTATATCAACAAGGGGATAAGGTATGAACAAAGAAAAAAGGTGCACTGTGCCTTTAAATACTATGCAAGGTATGATAAAGTGCAATTAGGTAGTGCACTTTAAATTGCAAACAATGATAATGTCAATAATAGAGAAAATATATAAGGTGCAAATAACAGTGCACTTTAAAGTGCAGAAGTTACAAGTAATAAAGTGCAAAATAAGTGCACAAGTGGAAAAAAATGAAATAAAAAAGGCTTAGAGTAATCCTTAATAAATGGAGTTTCTCAGTATTCTCCGAGAAATAGATTGAGTGCCGGCCTTTTATACTTTACCAAAGGCCCATAAAAATTTAGAAAAACCTCCTGGTAGACCGATCAGATCTATTTCTGCCAACCTCTCTAAATATGTAGACACTTGGTTGCAAAATTTAGTAAAACAAATGCCATTGCACCTAAAAGAAACAACAGATGTGATTACAATTTAAAAAAAATATCAGTTGGGTAGAAAGTTACTTTTTAGTCACCTCAGATGTATCAGCACGTTATACCCCTGTCGCCCAGGAATAAGGCTTTAATACTATACAAGAAATGTTATAAAAATCAGGAAATTTTCTGACAATCATATCAAGTTTTTAATAGATGGTATTAAGTGGATTTTAGAGAAAATTTACTTTATTTTTAATTCTAGGTTTTATTTACAGCAACAAGGCACGGCTATGGGGACCAGGTTCGCCTCCAGCTATGCTAACTTGTTTATGCAACGATGGGAAAACACGATTATTTATAATAGCCCAGCATGGAGGACGAACCTGGTCACATACCATGATGACCTATTTTTTATATGGAAGGGTTCACAGAAAGATTTAGAGACTTTTTTAGAAGATAAAAACAGAAACGATTGGGGCATCCAATTAAGTAGCCAATTTAGCAATTCCAACATTAATTTTCTGGATCTAGAGAATTATGTCGATGAGGGTATTCTCAAAACAATTTTTTTTTTTTTTTTTAAAAGGTCGATGCCAATAGCTATGTTCTGTACAATAGCGGGCACTACACCCCTAGGTTAAACAACATCCCTAAAGGACAACTACAGAGAATCAGGAGGAATTGCACTGATAAGGATATATTTGAAGAACAGGTTAAAGTAGTGATGGAGACTTTTTCACAGAAACAATACCCTAACAGTATATTGAATAAAGCCTATAAAGTAGTCGACAAACTGAAAAATGATCTAATTTTTAAACCAAATAACGATCAGAGAAACAGTTATTATTAAAGACTCTAAAAAAGTAAGATCTATTATTAATAAACACTGGCACTTACTAAAAAAAGATAGGGAACTATCTACTATCATCCCAGATAAACCATTTATTACCTATAGAGGGGCCCCTAGCCTGAAACAAATGTTAACCTTCAATCACCCAAAAACTGATATCCCTAATACTTTTTAAAAAACACTAACAAAAAAGGTTTTTATTCATGCAGAAAATGCGCAGGCTGTGAATGCAGTAAAAACAGAACCCTAAAGGGCATTAACAAATGTAAAACTAAATATAAAGATGAAGAATTTGTAATGAATGATTTCATAACGTGCTTTAATAAGAATGTAATTTTTCTTTTAATCTGCCCCTGTGGATTCCAATATGTGGGCATGGCCACCTGCCTCCTACGTAAAAGAATTTATGAGCGCTTAAATAATATTCGAAAAGGTTTTGATCTGCATAGTGTTTCTGCACACTTTAAAAAAACACCACAATAAAGAGCCTAGTGTTTTAACTTTTTTAGGGATACAAATAGTCAAAAAATCTTGGTGCAGGGGTAATTATATACAAAATATTGGAAAAGAGGAGATGAAATGGGTGCACAGATTAGGAACTTTAGAACCCAAAGGACTCAATATAGAGTTTGATTAATATTTTTTTTTTTTTTATAAATACTCTTATTTTTTATTAGTTTATCTAGGTTTCATAACTATATTTATATCTTTCTTTCATCCTAATAGAATGTTTTTGTTTTCCTTTTAGTAGGCTTTTTATATGTCTTTTATTTGTTTTTAATATATACCCCACTGCACTGCTTTGTGATTTTCCGTCAGAAGCAGTGTCTGGGAGATATCAAATAATAGCTGAATTGATACATTTACATAAGGCATATAGACATTGGACTTATGTTTTTTGGAAGGACCAATTTATCAATGACCCTGAGAATACTCCGCCCACCAAAGCTGACTTATATTGAGCAGAACGGCAGGACCACACCGTAATAAGAAGAAGCCGCCCCAGGCGAAACGCGTCATCACGTTCTACGCACGATGCTCAAGTTGCCGGAAGTACCGCCCTCTTCATTGGATACTTTATATCACTAGTGTTTACCGTGAGTGTGGAAAGCTGCTATTTTGAAGGGTTGCGGACTTCTTTTGGACTAAGAGCTTTGTCAGTTTGTGCTTTTAACTACAGAGTTCAATAAAGAAAGAATTGTTATGCATCCAGCTGCCGTTCTGATCATCTTCTTCACTCCAGTCCTAAAGTACAGGACCAAGCCAATCGAGTTAGAGCAGGCTCTTACTTGCTCTCTCCTTGTGAGTTTATTTTAATTCTCAGACTTTATATTTACAAGTGTTGCGGTATCACACTATATTTCTCTCTTTTTTTTATATTTTCATGCAATGTACTCCAATCTATTTCTGGGAGAATACTGAGAAACTCCATTTATAAGGGTTACTATAAGCCTTTTTTAATTTAATTTTTTCCACTTGTGCACTTATTTTGCACTTTATTAATTGTAACTACTGTGCTTTAAAATGCACTGTTATTTGCACCTTATGTATTTTCTCTATTATTGACATTATCACTCTTTGCACACTAAAGTGCACTATAATAATACCTTGCATAGTATTTAAAGGTACAGCGCACCTTTTTTTCTTTGTTTATAGTAGGTTGGTTTATAGTTTGTTTTGTGTTTTTGAGCTATTTGCACTTTAAAGGTGCAGCTTTCCTTTTTATACTTCTATATAACATCAGGTTATTCTTATTATTAGCGCCTTATTTTGTTTGTTCATTTTTTTTCAAGGGGATAAGGTGTTGTTGAGCACAAACAATATACAAATGCACAAAAACAAGTCCTGCACTCAAACTCCAACTAGTCTTGGGCGGCAGCAACGACTATAGTACATATCATCCCTAATACACACAGTAAAAACCAAAGAAAAAAGAGTTACCTGCCACTTTCCAAATCCCTATGCATATTTATATAAATGGAGATTATTTAGTAACTCCAATGGCCATTAGATGCAAGCCCACCTGCAACGTCAAGGCAAACCTCTTAGGTGGGTTCTTCACTAACAATTCAGCTTGCTTCCTTGAGCTTCAGGCAAATAAATATCTAATGAGATAGAGATGGGTATTTTTCTCAACCCCTATATACTTTTCAACCCTTAACAGGGAACACATGGGTTAGGCGGTAGCATTCTAACATAGCTGTGTGATGCAAAAGTGTATACTAAAAATATACGTTTAAAAGTTCCATCCATGAAACTTACCCCCCCAGGTACATAGGTCCTCACAAGATCATTCGGTGTATCAATCTTGTGGCATATAGTATTGCACTTCCTCCTGCTTTGCGTATGCCCAATACTTTTCATGCATCATTGTTGACGCCTTTAACATGTAACCGTTTTACCAGGCATGTTATTTCTCCTTCTCCTGTTCAAGAAAAATATGAGTTAACCGCTATTATCAATTCTCACTTCTTTAGAGGCCAGCTTCAGTACTTGGTTGATTGGAAATGGTATGGCTTGGCTTCTGACTATTCTGAATTCTCCATTCCTTGACTCGTGGCTTGTTCATTGTTTCCGTTATTTCTACGTCTTGTCTTTATCCTGTCTTGTGTTTTTTTTCCTTTATACGTTAAATCTGGCCATTCGAAGGCCTGGTATTACGTCTTAGGAATTTTCTTCATATCTACTTAAGTTCTGCGTGTTGGGCATCAGCTATTCCTGACATTACGACAGGGCCATTGACCCTGCAGACTTAAGTAGACAGGTGTCGTCTTGCGAATCTAAGCTGGAGGAACATAATGACCGCATGGATCAGTTGCCCAGGCCTTTCAGACGTTATTGGCTCGCACTGCACACCTTCAATCAGAGACACCCTCTGCCCAGGCTTCACAACATGCCACTGTGGCAGTATCCAGTGTTCAAAGTGCTCCGACTATAATCCTATTCCCTCCACCTAGATTCAGTGGAGATTCCCAGGAGTGTAGGGGTTTTATAAACCAGACAGAATACCACTTTGAGGCATCTTCTGGTTCTTTCCCTTCTGACAGGGCTAATGAATCAGCTATCCGGTAAAGCTCTAGCCTGGGCTAATCCCTTATGGGAGAGTGGGAGAACCGTAGCTTACTACTACATGGAGTTCATCACTGAATTCAAGAGATCTTTTGAACACCTTGGGGAAGTTAAAAAGGCAGTCAAGGCGTTAATGTGGATAAAACAGGGAAATAGATCCATTGCTGATTATGCCATAGAACTCTGCACGCTGGCATCCAAGGTAGATTGGACTAACAGCAGTTTGGTAACGGCTTTCTCACAAGGTCTCGCTAAGGTTTTATTAGATGAAACAGCGGCTAAGGATCTTCCGGATTTGCAGGAAGACTATATTGTATATATGATGGACATAGATAACCGTCTTAGGGAGAAGGCTAAGACCAGGACATGGACTATCCGTACCCCTGTTTCCTCAACTCCTCGTATGACTCTATCTGCTCCTGCAGTCGCCATCGAATCTGAACCTGTGCAACTGGGAGTGATGAAGCTTACAGAAGCTGAGAAACAATACCGTAGGGCTGAGGGTTTATGCCTGTATTGTGGAAAAAAGGGGCACCTTTGCCTAAATTGCCCAATACGTCCAGAAAACCTCTGCACCTTAGCACCATTAGAGGACCGGCCTTGGGTCTTATGAAATCGTCCTCTACCTTGCTTCACAACCAATTCCTCCTATCTGTAGTATTATCTTCGGGTGCTCATAACATACCTTGTAAAACTCTTGTTGATTCAGGAGCTGTTGAAAGCTTTATTGACAAGAAATTTGTGAACGACCTTGTCCCTCTGAGGGAGAGATCCACACCTTTTGGCCTTTGAGGCCATAGATGGTAGACCCCTTCTGACACCTGTTATAACCCACGAGACCCTTCTGTTATCCTTGTCCGTTGGAATACTGCATAGAGAAAACATAGCTCTACAGGTTATTTCAACTCCTTCATGTCCTGTCATTCTCTGGTTCTCAGTCTTGGATTGGGTTAAAGGTCTTCTCCCAGTTAAACCTATAGGTCGTATCAATGTATCCACTACAGTTCCCTTATCCACAGTGGTCCCCCCACAATACATTCATGTTAAGGAAGTATTTAGCAAAACCAATGCTGAGACGTTACCCCCGCACCGACTTTATGACTGTGCCATTGACCTTCTTCCAGGCACTATGCCACCTAAAGGACGGGTGTATCATATGTCCCCCCATGAGAGTGAAATCATGGAAGAGTGTATCCAGGATGCTCTTGCCAATGGTTTCATACGTAGGTCTTCCTCTCCTGCAGGTGCAGGATTCTTCTTTGTCTAAGAAAGAGGAAGACCTACGACCGTGCATCGATTATAGAGGCCTTAACAAGATCACTATAAGGAATCTATATCCAATTCCTCTTATCATGGAATATTTCGATAGACTTAAGGGGACCACTACGAAATTAGACCTCAGGAGTGCATATAATCTGGTCAGGATAGAAGAAAATCATGAATGGAAAACCGTGTTTAATACAAGGAGTGGACATTACGAATATCTCGTAATGCTTTTTGGATTTTGCAGCTCTCCGGCGGTCTTCCAAGACCTGATTAATGATGTCTTAAGGGAATATATTCATTCTTGTATTATAGTCCATCTAGACGACATACTTATTTATTCCCGAGACATTACTACCATGTTCATGTATCTCAAGTACTTACAACACTATTACGCAATGGTTTATATTGTAAATTAGAGAAATGTTTATTTCACTAGACAGAGGTACAATTCTTGGGCTACATTAGTTCAGCCAAGGGTTTCAAAATAGATCCCCAAAAACTTGAGGTGGTCTTGCAATGGCCCAGACCTAAGGGTTTTAAAGCCATTCAAAGATTCATCAGTTTCACCAACTATTACTGCAGGTTTATAAAAGGATTCTCCTCGGTCATATCTGCCATTACTAGTCTCACACGTAAAGGGGCTGAAACCCATGCCTGGCCTCCCGCAGCTCTGTCTGCCTTTGGGCAACTGAAATCTCTCTGTTCTACTGCCCCTGTGTTCATGCATCCCGACCCTTCCAAGCATTTTGTATTAGAGGTTGATGCTTCGAAGACAGGGGTTGGAGCTGTCTGCTATTAACGTGAGTCCCAAGACACTCCACTCCATCCTTGTGGCTTCTTCTCCAAAAAGCTATCCCTGACAGAGGTTAATTATGATAAAGGGAACAGGGAATTATTAGCTATAATCCTGGCTTTGAAAGAGTGGAGACACTTGGTAGAGGGCGCTAAAGTTCCCGTAATGATTATAACAGACCACAAGAATTTGGCCTATATAATTGAGGCTAAACGTCTCTCATCTAGACAGGCTAGATGTTCCTGGTTTCTTTCTCATTTAATTATATTATCACGTATAGGCCTGGTTCTCGTAATACTAAGGCTGATGCCTTATCAAGACAGTTCGAAACCAACTCTGATCAGGATCTAGAAGTTGTTCCTATCATACCACCAGAACGCATAGTGGCTACCACTATATTAACCATGTCCTTCACATTGATAGACAAGGTGCATAATGCTCAAACCCAGGCTCCTGATGACAATCCTAACAATAAATTGTTTGTGTCACCTACAGAGAGGACAGAAATGCTCTTCTTGTACCATGATACCAAGTCAGCCGGCCTTCCAGGAATTCGAAAAACCTTGTCCTCCATATCTAGACAGTTCTGGTGGCCTTCTATGCATACGGATGTTACTGATTATGTCCAAGCATGTACTGTTTACGCTATGACCAAAACTCCTAGTAAGCTACCATGTGGTCTCTCACAGCCACTTCCTGTTCCTGAAAAACTATGGTCCCAGGGGTGGGGGCCGGGGTGAGAGGACAGTAAGACAGTAGGCCACTGGCTGCTCACTGTTTACTTGACATGCCCCTACTCGCGGTATAGTGAGTAGGGGCATAATTTACTAATACTAAGTAATCTTTACTTAGTATTAGTAAATGTGGCTGAAAGACCAATTTAGGTCTTTCA